ATCGTGCTATCACGGGCAGCATCCGGTCACACACGGACATCAACAAATCTCAATCGGCGATGTTAAAATTGCAGTGGGCCATCTGGGCCTCGCATGCGCATGCAGGCCACAGGGCTGGGTGGTCAGGCGGTGGCCGGCCATGGCACGGAGGACGTGGCGACGATGCGTCCCGTGCGCGAGCGTGCCATCCGCATCATCTTCAACGCCGACGTGCACGCAGGCCTCCTGTGGAACTTCCGGCCGCAGCAGAGCGAAGTGAACGTGAGTGACGGGGTGCACGCCCGGCGTTGTCTAAATCGTCGTTGGTTGTTTTTTTCTGTTATGGTCGTAGTCTTTCGTCGGTGACACATGGAGTTTTCATTTAAGCCTTAGTCTGTCTACTTGTTATAATTGTATTTGTCTAGTTGATGAAAGCAGAGCGTTAATTCCACTCTTAGTTACTAAATGTTGGTTTGAGGGGCGCACAATTTGTACACTTCGCCAAAGTCATCGAGTCAGCCAATTAATGAACTCCGTCAATCTGGTTGTATACGGATGCAGATAATTACCATGTTTGACTTTTCCCAGTGCACTGCAATCTCGAATAACGTGTCTACATTATCTTTGTCTGTTGTCAGTCGTCGTGGTTTTGGCCTGGTGGGTAGCGAAGTCATTTTCGTTTGATGGTTTTAGTCCACTTGGTCATTGGTGACTAAAACACAACCCCCACCTTTGACGAAGATTTTCGTCACCAATTTCGCGGACGATATTAGCGTCGGCGCACACGCACGCTTGACCAGGCACCAGCGTGTGGATGATCCCACTTTGTGCACCATCCTGGCAGGTCGTGCCCGGTGAGACGGCACTGGCGTTTTACCGCGCCAAAAATCCTTCCTCGAAGCCGGTCGTCGGCATCTCCACGTACAATGTAGTGCCCTTTGAAGCGGGCCAGTACTTCAACAAGATTCAGGTAAGCTCTTTAACACACCTCAATGATGAAGTTGTATCGTCTGGTTTTTCCTTATTCGGCGTAGGGGTGGTGTACGTGTCAGTTGGAAGTCACGAGCCACCGAGCGACAGTCGCATTGCTCTGGTGCCGTCACTCCAACCTCCGTTGAATTGGCAAGTGGCAATGCATCGAATCATAGGTTAAAATCGTTGTTTGCGCTCGTGATACGTGCATCGCACGTGAGAATGCTTTACTTGTTTATGTTGCAAGTCATGGGTTCATGTGTCCCTCTGCAGCCACTAGAGGTGGTCTCAACACAGAGGTTTTGTTTCCCAAATATTTATGAAAAATAGTTGGGGCTTTTTCTCCAAACGAATTCCAATTGTGCTGTCAGCAGCGTGGCAGGAGACGATGAAAAATCTCAGAGCAGTGGAGCCCAAATATTCGAGAACATCAGCAGAAAAGTTTACAGGAATTTGGACTCAAGACAAACCCTGCAAATGGCCTCATTGTGTACACTGTAGTGTTTGCCAAATGATAGTACGAATGTATTTAATTTTCTCTGAGCTGGAATTTATCAAAATTAAGGACAAAAAAACGATTCTTATATGATGGGTGTCGTAGTCAACCGAGACCATGAACTCGCTAAATTTGAGATCCCCAATTCATCACGGGGTGACCGAAACCTGGCCTTGAACTTTGGTTCTTGGTAGTGCCAATCGAGCACCGCTATGCACCACAACGTTAAAGCAAAAATGTATTCTTGTATCACATAATGGTCCAAACTCATGACAATTCATTGAATTGCAAAGGGAAAAATCGTCAGACGGCTGCTGTTGACCTTTCATCAATGTGATGACTGGGATTTGACTTTTCCCCTTTGAATGTGAGGCCAATTAATTACCACTTGAGCTGTCTACTTCCTCTCAGCCATAGTTAATATTTGCAAATTCATGTGCAGTGTTACAACTTAACCCTTTCCAATGACGTATGTGTACATAATCAAAACGAAACAGGAAAAAAGAAATAAAATATTTATCAGTGCTGAGGCTCACACAAGGCCATGCGGGAGGATGTGGCAGTTTGGCGCCATCTATCATAGTGCGGTCTTGTCGCTATAGTTCTCTTGCGGTGAGTAAAACAACGGCACTATGCCTCTCTAAATTATATTAACGCTGAACCGCTTGCACGTTCCGAGTTTAGGAGGTGAAAGCGACCCACCCCTGCAACTTGCAGACGTCTCAGAACGGCAAAGGGCTCAATGAATGCTCGAGCAGTACGTGTTCAAGCTTTGGGAACGGGTTCCCCTTTTGCACGCACGCGCCGCATCGTACGCGTCCCTCTTCGTGTGCCGCAGTGCTTCTGCTTCGAGGAGCAGCGCCTGAACCCGCACGAGGAGGTGGACATGCCAGTCTTTTTCTACATCGACCCCGAGTTCGCCGAAGACCCGCGCATGGCCAACGTGGACACCATCACGCTCTCGTACACGTTCTTCGAAGCCAAGGACGGCCAGTTCCTCTCCCTGCCAGGCTATAACAAATGATGCAGTGCTCCTCTGGCCTCTGGGAGCGGGGTGTGGGGGATGCTGAACCGGTGCCTCGTGGTTGAACTATACTGCAGAGCCAAGACCGTGTTCCTTGGCGTTCTTTCAAGCAACTTGAGGTTTTTCCCTGCGGCAGGTGCCGTCGCAGCCGAGACATTTTACACCTCTCCTTAATGCCTTGAAATCTGCAGAAGCGTTTTTTAACGAGGCAAATGTCGGGGCATGGCAGGGCCGTGCCATGGGTAAGCAGTTGTGCATTTGCCGTTTGTTGCAGAAGTTTGCAATTTCGGGCCCCATGGCCGCCCTGGTTCGTACAGCGGGTTTTTATTAACTGTAAAAATACGTGCCGTCCTGATACGTACTCGGTGGACTTTAAAAGATCCCATAATGTTATTCAATAATCAGCAGGCCATGTGTGCTGGCAAAGTGGTAATTTTTTTTAAAATTACCCACAAGTTACGCAATGTGAAAATGCATGGCAACAGCGCATGCAACCGCAAAAATGTATTGAGAACCCTTTCTGAGAAATTATCTTGAGATTCCAAAGCTTTCATGGGTGATCAAATGTTATGTTCAACCACCTTTGTGTACGCCAAACACAGCCTATTATAAGTTCTTCATCCTTAAGGCTCCATGCTTAATCTTTTTTTTTATCAACGGTCATCTCTAACCTTAACTTGAAATTTAGTGCTGCTGCCGTTTACATTAATCGTGGCCTTCGGAAAACCCTGTTTGGCTTCACGTGTTTTAAAATGTCTCTCATCTTAATCTATCAAAATATGAAACCAAAAACCATCGTGGTGGTTGAGCGTTTTTCTTCTTGCTGCAGAACACATGCTTTTGAGTGTGCCCTTTGTAAACATTCATAACGGTTCCGTGGTTGTATATAATTATTCACCCCCCTCGCGATTTCATGAATTATATCATTCATCATTGTTCGGGATCGGTATTCGATTAAAGAATGTTATTTTTAAACACTTTCGTCAATATAACGTCCCTAGTGGCTGCAGGAGTGAAGTGAACCAGTACAGCTTGAAACAACTTACAAGGTCCAGTCCTGAAAATGTTTGCTAATGCCGCTGCTGGAAGAACGGCCTCCACTAAATTGAGCTCTACAAGGTATGCGGCCTACTCTTCCAAACTGGTCAGACATCCTGGAAGCGGTGTTGAGCACCCACACTTTGCCCCACCACACATGCCCTGCTGAGCAACTGTTTTGTACCCATTTAAACTGCTGGTTCAGGGGTTGTCAACCAAAATAACAGCCATTGTTTGTTTTTCAAATTCGGTCAAACTAAATATTTCAAGAGCCGCAATGTGAATACGAGACGATGGTCCTTAATAAATAACGTCACGAAGCAGCAGTAAGAGCCGCCGCTTGCCGACCCCTGTGCTGGTTGGACGGAGGCGAACGGGATCCAAATAAATCTGCCCATTTCAACTGTCGGGCCGTGAGGTCAGGGTCGAACCGGGCAACCTCGGGATCGCAAGTCCAGTGTGCTAACCACTGCACCACAGCATCCCAAATACATGTACTTGCAGTATTTGCCTCGCGAAACATTCCCACGTGATAAGCCACTTCGTTGAGCTATCATTTGTAGTCGGGTTGTTTCTGAAAACTAGTTTATAGCTCAGTGGACCCATACTACCTGGTAAAAATAAAACACGTTTACTTGTATAAAAAATAATCCGAAGCCTTGGCCTCGTCTACATTTTTTTCCCAACGGTCCTGGCAGCTTCTCTGAGAAAGGTCACCCACAAGCGTAAGGCCGACCTACACTCTCCACAAGTGAAAAACCAGGCTTGCCATGAGCCAGATGGCACCTTATGGCCGACCACGTGGCGATTGCCTGGCACCCCCTCTACTGGTCAATGCCAGTGCCCACCACAAACTTGAAAGTTGCCCCGACAGCATCCTCAAAAGCCTGTCGACGAGTGGTGCGCATTATCTTCTCTACTTTACAGCTGCTGGCATTCGATCACTTACTGTACACATTCCATTCACTGCCCACACAACTGTTAAAGTGCAATACAAAATAGCACAGTGGTTATAATTTATATTTAAAAAAAGCATTGAGTCGGCCTCCCGTTATCTAAATTTTCACTGCTCTCTGGATTTTCTAAATCGCAGCACGCCGTAAAATATATCGGTGTGGGGAAATCTCCCCTGGCTCCTTATTAGCGGCAGTACTTAATAGCTCACGGGATTGTTTTATCTTTAACCCTGTGCATGCTGCGCATTTTACATTTAGACCAGATACAGAAACTCAACTGTTGTCTAAGGTTGGGCACGGTAGGATCAACGAGCAAAAAAACCTCAGGTCAGGTACAACAGGTTTGTTAAACAATTGGAGATATCTGTTCGGATGGGCAGGTAGGGATAGGGGGGACAATTGGAAATTATAGAGGAATGTGTACCGACGATCGCTATTGAATCGGGTCAACGATCAAAATTGTTAAATGGGGTGGAAACAAGGGGGTTGGGCAGTGCTCTTGGAAAACTGGACATGGTAAGGAAAAGCAATGTGCCTAAATCATATAGGTTTTTAATCAATGTATATTAGCTGCCATCACATGGATCAGAAACAGACATCAAATAAGGTGGAAAAAACTGAAAAGTGTGCAAAGAAGCATGGAGAGGAACACACATGGATTAGACAACACATTAAAGAGGCATCCTGTTAATGAGTGGCGTTTGGCAGGACACGTCACTGGCGAGATGATGTCCAATGGTCGAGAATGACCACGGAGTGGCAGTCAAGGGAGCGGAACACATCCAAGAGGACGCCTACTGCAGAGATGGAGTGATGAAGTCGGCTCCTGTGCAGGTGATAGGTGAATTTTAACAACGTGCGGCCGTAAGAGATGTCTTTGGAAGGCCTTTGATCACGGCTGGTGATGATCAAATGTGACAAAAAAAAGCCGTGCATGTGGGTGCAGTTCGCGCGTGCCAGTCGGTGCATGTTACTAAATAGCACTTGATTCGATTATCTAATTGCATGACTTTGGAATTGATAAATACATTTTGAAACCAATTATGGATATAGCAATAATAGCTCAACAACTCTCATCTACACCAAGCCACCCAGGATGAGGTTAAACAGGGTTAGAATTAAGGCCCGACTTATAATCCTGGCTCTAATCCTGACAGTGAAGCCACTCGAGACGATTAATAAGATGGTTTGTGAATAAAAAGCCACCGTTTATTTTCATGACACAATGTTCTTGCTCGCTTGAGGGAATGACGAATAAATCATGTTTTTATTCACGTGGATGTGCACCGGTGTTATTAGTCTTGTGCTTTAATTAAATCAAAATAGTACACTGAGCTTGATTTATGCGTGCAAACGGATGTCAAAAGGGTGGACGGACGGACGGCTGGCTCGGGGCGCTGCGCTCACATCTCTCCACGAATCGACCAGCGGGGGAAAACCAACCGCTTCGATGCGAAACCCAGTTCCGCAGAACGGACCTTTCCAGCCTGAAATTCCCTCCTTCCGCAAAAATGCCCCGCGGGGGCTGCAGCGATCGGGAATGAAAATGTTCGGAGAGCAGCCTCCGGCAAGCGGCAGGAAAAATTAAAGTGCGCACGCGTGGACGTGGGAATGATCCGTCTCGTCAGCGTCGTGAGAAAAGCATCTCGATCAACGACCTCAGGGGGGGGGGCCCCGTCGGCCCAACCAGCAAACTCCCGACTTCTATTTCCAAGCGTCTCGATGGGCGACAGGGCGAGCCGCGCGCGGGCAGGCGGGGTGTGCACGGAGCGGAGCGGAGGAGCGCCAAGCGTCGCTGCCGGGCAGTTCCCCCTCAAGGCCGGCCCTGCGGGGACATCCGCAGCGCCAGCTCGGCAAAGTGAGCCAACTCGGGGCGCGCGCTCTGCCGCCGCACCAGCTCCAGCACCCTCGCCTGCGCACGGACACACGCGCACGGACACACGCGCACGGACACACGTGCACGTACGGCATGCCCGTCACCGTGGCTGTCGCTTGTCGTCGCTGGCCGGAGATAGAAATTGTGCGCGTATAATTCGTGGAAATGATGCGCAAATTGTGCACTGCCGCTGCTCCTGCTGCATGTAGAGTTATAGGACGAATAAAAGTGCACACGAGACAAATGGGGACAAAAAGCAAAAGATCCCTCACTGAAATCGTGACCCATGAATCGTGGTTATATAGCAAATTGCTGGAGGGAGCGATGGGGGGGGGAGGGTCGACAGGGGGGCAAACGTGACTAAAACATTCCTGCATCTCCGATTAGGACGGTTGGCTACGTACGATGCGAAAGAAGTTCAACACACATACATACATTTGTCCAACAAATGCACGTTCGTGGATCTCTAAGCAGCCAACCGCCTGCCCTCCCCCACCTCCCGTTCGTGCCCAAACTCACCAGGGCACGCGAGTCGGCTTGGCCGTGCTTCTGCGCCAGCCCCCACAGGCTGACGGTGAGCTGGTTGAGCTTGTTGTTGCGCAGGTCGGCCTGCAGCAGCAGCGTATCCAGCAGCGCAAGCGCCAGCACGCTCTGCCGCTTGTATTGCTGCAGCGCACAACACAAAGATCCCCCGTGTAGCCTCAACAGACTTTTTGGGGCAAGTGCTGTTAGCGAGCACCTATGAAGGCTGGCACGGCACACGAGGTGGTGGGTGGCCAGCACCACGTCTGGCTGCCTTTGTCTGTCCAGTGGCGATGTTTACACATCGCACCAGGTCCTCATTTGAGGCCGAGTCGACCAAGGGGAGGCCCAGGACCGGTTCAAATAATCGTCACTGGTGTGGGCCGTGAGCGGGAATCAAACTCGGGTTGCCAGGTTCATAGCGCAGCGCGTTAACTACTACACTGCCCCGCACACACACATGCGCACATGTATGAACACAATTACATTGATTACTGAACTATGGCCCCGTTAGTGGTTCGCTGTTCGAGCCCCTCGATCGCCCTGGTTAATGCGGCGCATGTATGAACTGTATAAATATGCACTCAGTCTGCTTCGCAGTGGGCGTGAAAAGATTGTGAAATACCGAAAAAATAGCAGGCCATGTGTGCCGACACTGGTCCAAATTTGAAAAATTACTCGATTGGGAAAACACAAAGGAAAGTTACCCCCTACTGCTAACCTTAGCAAGCAGTTCCCCCCTGAAAACCCAAACTATAAACCAATAAACTATTTTTATTTTACCAGGTAATGGCAACTGAGTTATATAGCTCTGTTTTAGAAGCGACCTGGCAACAAAAATGATAGCTCAATGAAGCGGCTTATCATGTGGAAATTTATAGCAACTCAATATTATAAACGCATGTTTCTAAAGGTGGAAGGAAAAACCGGAAGACCCGGAGAAAATCCACGCAACCACGGTAAGAACATGCAAACTCCAAATATACAGGCGTCAAGGGTCGGGATTGAACCCAAGACCTTCTGTATACCAGGCGAGGTAGTTAACATCTCGCCACCGTGGCACCCAGTCTTGAGACTCGAGTGACACTTTCCTGGGTAAAAGTTTAGGGGAAAAATAAATAAAACATCCCACTCACCTCCTGCTTGCCCAGCAGTTTCAGCTGGTCCAACACCTGCCCCAGGATCGTCTCACAGAGCCGGTCCACCTCCCCCAGGAACTTGGGGTCGCTCCCATAAAGGCTGTCATTCGAATCCACTGCCATTGCGAACACAGGGAATGCAATAACATCACGCGAGGTGGCCAGGAGCATGGAGGTGGAGCGTGCGTGCGTGGGCGTGTGGGCGTGCGTGGGCGTGCGTGCGTGGGCGTGTGTGCGTGTAAACATTCGCACGGGGGAGACAAAAGGTGTGGTAACCAGCCACACGTCACCCTGTCGGTGCTCGCTAACAGCACTTGTCCCAACAGTCCATGCAGGCTATATAAGGGATTTCTGTTTTTGTATGTGCTAGACCAGCGGTCGGGGAACCTATGGCTCGCGAGCCATATATGGCTCTTCCGGTGATGGCATATGGCTCCCAGACAATTGAGTTGAAAAAAATAATAATAAAAAAAATAAAATCAGTTTGGAACTGATTTTAAAATACTTGTGATATTGCTTAATAATACTGTCATTTTAAAGTAAACAGAAATTAGTTTTGAAGATAAAATTTCTCGGGTCACGGGTCCCATGACCAGAAGTTGCATTAAAAGTAAGACATTTAATTTATTATACGTTAAAAATACTATATGGCTGTCAATGAAATATATTTAGAAATATTTGGCTTTTATGGCTCTCCCAGTCAAAAAGGTTCCCGACCCCTGTGCTAGACACAGGCTTGGGAGATGGGCAGACGTGAGATGTGTGGACCTGGAGCTGACGACGAGTAGCAGTCCTAGACATGTAATTACGCATTGATTCACTGATTTAAATCAATTCATATGCTCACAGTAAACAACATCAAATTTATCCTTCCATCGCAACCATTTATGATGACAACCGATCAAATCGCTGTGGGAGTAAATCGCTGCGTGCCTACCGGCGGTGTCAATGCTGGCGTTTGAGAAGGGGGATAATGAAAGACGCTGAAGTGGTTGCATCAACAGTGGCAGGCAGAGGAGTCACACTGACAACAACGAACAGGGCATCGGGGGTGGGAGGGGGCTAAAACACAGAGAGAGCTAGCACAGTGGGGAGTACGTATCTGCCGGCCAGTCACTCTGGTCAATTAAAACCATAACACGTGGACCTGTCTCGTAACCTCCTGCCAGCGGAGCCTCCACCACTGTGCATGACCCCTCCTCAACGTGCCACCTAGCCTAGCGAGGGGCAGGCAGGTGTTGTTGTGTGGGTGCTGGCAGGCACCCTTGCTGATGGAGTACAGGTATGTCTCCTGGCTGGCGGCGGCCAGCAGGTTCATGACGGAGAGGTAGGCACGTGCGCGCCCATCGCTGCCCTCCTCCCAGATGTAGTCCTGCAGCACGTTGAGCAGCCCCCGAACCAGGTACAGTACGCTGTGCTCGGGGTGATCCTGAAGAGCACGCACAGGCAAAGACGGCACGTGTACCCTTGTCCACTGTGGGGGCAAGTGCTGTTGGTGAGCACCTATTAAGGCCGGCATGGTGCACAAAGGGGTGATGTGGTGAGCAACACGATAAAGGAAAAGGCTAGCTGAAGATGCAAGGACCACCCTCCTCTACCCATAAACTTAAAATGTTAACAACTAAACTTTGCCAGCCGTTATGCCCCATAATGTGGCCTGCCATCATGATCCAAGAGAGATCAACACACGCATGTCTGCGTTTGTCTTCCCGATGCACATGTTTGCACACCACAACAGGTACTGAAGGAGCCAGGCCCAGTTCAGTTTTCACTCGACAGTGATGTTGACTGTGATCGGGAAGCAAACTCCCTTCACCGCGTTTGTAGAGCATTTGTAGAGCAGTGCGCTAACCGCTCCACCACTGGTCCCTACAAAACAAAGATCCCCCGAATAGCCTTAACAGACTGTTGGGGCGAGTGCTGTTAGCGAGCACCTATGAAGGCCGGAACGGCACACGAGAGGGGGTGGGTGGCCAACACCACGCCCGGCCGCCTTTGTCTCCCCAGTGGCGATATTTACACATCGTACCAGGTACTCAATTGAGGCTGAGTCGACCTAGGGGAGGCTCATGACCGGTTTAGATAACCTGTCGCAGGTGTTGGCTGTGAGCGGGAATCGAACCCGAGTCCCCACTCACACACGCACACCGAGGGAGATGCAGAGCGAGAGTGACTGGGCCGCAGTCACTCACGGGCACGACGAGCAGCGTGGACAGGAAGGAGGAGAGGAACTCGAGCAGCATGGGCTCCGTGGGGCGTGCCTTCCCGTCCACCATCACCGAGCGCGGCACCTCCACCAGCAGCGCGATCGCCGCCTTGAAAAACCCGTCCGCTGCACGCGCACGCACGCGTGCCAACACACGCATGCACGCACGCACGCGTGCCAACACGTGCATAAAGCACACGCGTGAACATGCAAACCACGCACACACGTGTGAGCACCCGCAGACCAACGCGCGCACGTGCAGAATTTTTGGAAGCTCTAACGGATGTAAATTTTTAAAAAAATAAACAAAACGACATGAGACAAATGCGATGGGGGGGACAATTGGGGAAGGGGCAGAGGTCGCAAACAGGGTTTTGATTCCTTACCCGTACCCATACCCAGCTGCACCAGGGTCGCAAATGGGTACCCGTACCCGTACCCTACCTGAAATGAGTGACAAACGGTTACTACTCACCAGTGACTCACGGCCTACCCGTACCCGTACCCGGCCGCACCAGGGTCGCAAACGGGTACCCGTACCCGTACCCGGCCGGGTACGGGTAGCCGGGTATCGGATAGGGTACGGGTATCGGGTACCCGATTGCGACCTCTGGGAAGGGGTGAGGAGGCAGGGCGGCGAGCAAGGTGAAAGAAGTTCAACACATATGTGTACACAAAAGGGCACTGGTGCCCACCTTGCGAGAGGCACTGATTGGCGAGCGCCACCTGTCCCGACAGCAGGTAGAGGTTGAGCTGCGCGAACACGCTGGTTAGCGACGGGATCGTGATGAAGCAGTAGGCGGCGCATGCCTGCACACACCCACAGCTGCCAGCAGCAACAGCGTCAGAACATCGCACTTCATTCTCTTCTTTGAAGACAAAGAGGTCCCATTGAGGCATGGGGGTTCTCGGCCTGATCAACTTTTCTTCCTCAATACCCTTCTAGTATGCGCCCTCTTCTCGAGTCACCATATCCTTCCATCTGACCTTCATCTGCCTCGACTATTTCTTCTGCCCAATGCAATCTCCATAGCCCTTCGATTTACACCTTCTTTGTTTCTTTTCAGCTCATTATGCTCAATGCATGTATATTATTATCATGTTAGGGCCCGCAGCCGGCACTATAAGCCAAACCCGCTAATAGATGCCATGGGAGAGTTCATTACTCGACCGCGGACGCGGTTCAGCCGGCTCAGCCCCGGCCAATCGCATCGAGGTGCTGTGCGGGCCGTTAGAATAAGCGGCTTGTCGCGTCCCCGTCCCGTTTAAACCGTCCTCGCCGACCGCATCGGAGGCCGGGATTCTGGAAAACATTGCGCTCGCGATGGCGGCCGGTTCCAACTTCCTCCAGGTAGTTCTGGGGTCAGAGGCACCGAGCCGCCACCCCCAGAGAAGTTGGGGTTTGACTCTGGGTTTCAGCCGCCCGTGATTAACTGGGTTGTCAAGTGTAGTGAGTTTATGTATATTGAATTTCTTTCACACCATATGTAAGCCAACCGTGCTAATCGCAGGTGTTGATGGTCTCAGCCTGGTCATCAATGAATGCACACAAAAAACTAAAACTGTAGCTTTTTTAACTAAATTGGGTTCAATTTAATCTCTCACAATGAAAAAAATATATGTTTTGACTGTTGAGCGATGGAATTTTGTGTCTGTAAAAAGGCACAAAGGAAAGCGAACACCCTAGTAATGTAGTTCTGTGACATTCTCCTTCCGCAGGCTGCTCTCTCTCACACAGGGTAATGCACTGCACTTGGAGAGTTACAAAGGACATTTCGCCTCGTGACATGAGGATCATGGCGCAAGTTGACAAAAATTGGTTAAAAGAAAAAAATTCATATCATGGCGCGTTTCTGTCGGGCTTTTCTCCACTCCGCGAGAGGAGGTGTTTCATGTTGATCGCTCGGAAAGACTGCCGACCAACCAACGAAACTTGAGATAGGAAAATAGAGATACAACCAAAGTAGGGATGGAACCATAAACCTGGATTTACCCTGAAGGGGCGAAGGAGGGTGATTAAGACAACTAGGGACTGGAGGGGCACAGTTGTTTAGTTTGCGGAGGCTTTAAGCCTGTGGTTGATTGCGGGGGACCCTCACCCGCACGAACGCCGCCGTTTTTCGCGTGTGTGGTTTCCCCGCACCAGGCGGCACGTCTCCATGGCCAGGCGGTTCACACTCTGCCGAGACAACGGACAGCGGCTGGCAGACTCGGCGTGGCCACAGGGTCCGGCACAATCATACATGCACGCACATACAACAACCGGCAATCGTCACCAAGTGTTGTGGTGATGTCACCACGACGCTTGTGCTAGGCCACACACATACATATACACGCATCATACGCGTATGCATACACTCACATACGCATGTGTAAATACACGTCCAAAGAGACTCAACACACACATACTCGCACATCCAGCCAAATACGCGGACACATACACTCTCAAACACTTACACATACACACACAGGAACATAGGCATGTGGAGAGAAAGGCTGACACGCAGAGACTCGCGCACAATGCTGACGGGCTAGTACAAGCTGGTGACACGGACGCACTGACGCAGGCTAGTGACACCGACGGGCTTGCGAGGTCAGCAGGGGTGACTGGGTCCTCACATGCATGAGCGCGACAAGCACTGGCTCCAGGTTGGTGAAGGTGGCATCGCGCCTCCACGTAGAAGCTCAGCTGCTGCTCGAAGTCCCGGCCAAACGAGATCTATATCACAACAAACAGCAAGAGGCGATTAAGAGTGGCTCAAAGGTCTAAGCAATGAGTTCGGTTCCACCGGAACTTCTGGGTCTCAGACACCCATGACTGAGTCAGGTTCTCGAGTAAAGGAACTTGATGGTCTTAGCCCAGTCACCAATGACAACTGTAACAGACCGTCACACACAATTAAAGTTTTTCATTTATTACGGCTAAATTCCAGTTCTGAGAATTAACCGTATTGTTTGCAGTGCGTGTAAGAAAGGGCGTTCCTAAAGAGTCGATAAAAAAGGTAACTTGAATGGATCTCAGTGGTAGTTGGGATATCTACTTGTGCGAGCCGTTCCACAATGTCAAGAGTTCCTAACATGCGTCATATGACATGACACGACTAAAAGTACGCTTAAGAAATTTAAATAAAATTGCCCTTTTTAATTGCCGGTGATTGAGCACTGCGTGCGACATCACGCAAGGAGTGGCTCGGCTATCCTCGATAAGCAACTGAGTAAAGAACAGCACATGGTCGACCGTAGGAGCGAGTGGGTGTGGTGCCAACCATACGGATGAAGCCGCAGGTGAGCGCCGAGATGACTCTCCTCTCATCGTCCAGGGAGAGCGCGCTGCAAAGAGAGACCGGAGACCACCTCGTCATGTGCGGAGGAGTGCCGGCGTCGGTCAGCCGAAGCCACCACAACCACCACGGCCATCGCGTACACGGGAAAACAGCGATCCCAAGCGGTGTCAGAAGTCGTTCAACTGTTTGTCCTCATCCTCCCGCTCGCGTTAATTCTGGATGATGCCGAATTATCCCACGACAACCGAACAGTTGCGGTAGAAGAGACAAGAGCCTCGACCTGCGGTAGCAACCAATAACCACCTGTTGACGACGACGACGTTTGCTGACGATGATGAGGTTCACGAGTAACCGCGGCACCCTGGACACCGTGCTCTCGGCTCCAAATGGGAGCAAGCTTCGGTGAAGAGGTAACAATGGCATGACCAAGAGGTCGGTGTGGGGTGCTTACTTGACGGAGTCGTGCATGGTCTTGCACACGCTCATCAAGGCATTCACGATCACGGGGTCCCGCGTCTCCTCCCGCTGCTGCCTGTGCATTGCCGAAGCATCACATCGCAACGCAACACAAGCTCGGTTACATCCGACACTGTCGTGGGCTTGAGTCGACTGAACGAGGGGTGAATGGACACAGGGAGGGGTGAGTAGGCCTTGAAGCTACTCACTTGATAAAGGCCTCCGTTACCGTCTTGCACACCTCCACCTTGACGAGCTCCTTTTGGAACATGTCCAGAAATGGCAGAAACTTGTCCTGGGGATGAAGCAGGGAAGCAGTTAGAAAAGGAATCTTTGCTACTAATCATTGTAAGGCAGCTCCCGTTTCCTTGCCAACAGCTCGGTGAGATGCTGAAGAAGACTCTAAGAAAACTAAAAGCTCTTATATTGTATACACCAGAGTCAGTCGATCAGCAGCAGGTCATGTGTGTGGTTGGTAGGGTAAAGTGTGGGTACTCCCTCCTCTTCCAAGATGTCTTGAAGTAGGCCAAAATACTCTCTAGACGATCTCTAATGCTCGCTCTAGTGGAGGCCCTCCTGCCAGCAGTGGCGTGAGCAACTAATTGCAGGCCTGCGCCTTTACCTTTAAGGTAGGGTGGCCTATAACATCGGTGACCTGGTCTTTGCCGAACTGCCTTTTGATTCTGAATGAGGGGGACATTTTGGTCAAGAAGAGTCCCTCTCCGTTTCACCGACCTGGGCGGCTCATGCCGCTGGAGGACGCCGCGCACTCACTCACCATGGCGAACAGCGTGGAGAAGTCCTGGAAATATTTCAAGACCCTGGACACGATGGACTGCAACTGCAACATGAGACACGCGGAGTTAACCCTCATGCAAGTCTTCAATCGAATCAGTTTCAATTCCTCAATACAATAAAACTAAGGATGTAGCCGGTGTCCAAATCCGACCGCCACGTTGAAAAAAATATGCCTTTTTTGACAGAGGCATAGGCAGAGGAAACGATGATGGTTTTCAGACTGCAGTTGAATAGGGGTAGGGGAGTCAAAAGCACATGTGGCTGGGGGAAGGGAGTTACAGACCATGGGCCAGTGGAGGACCTCATCACCGGTCAGTGGAGACGTCTCCTTCGGCCGGTGATGACGGCTCCACCGGCCTGCAGAGACGTCACCGCCGATCGGCGAAGTCACCACCGGCCAGTAGTGATCGGCGGCTGATGGAATTTTTTTGTTGTCCAATGATTATTTGCGGGGTGTGCGGGGGGTGCGGGGTGTGCGGGGGGTGCGCGCCTGCACGCATTACCTGTGGGTAAGCCTCCTCAAACGCGCGGTCAGGAGTCATGTGCTTGATAATGTCGGCCAAAACGGTGTTTACTTCGCGTTGCTGAGGAGCAAAGACAAAGATCCTCCGTAAACTTGTACAGACTGCTGGTGCGAGTGCTGTTGGCGGGCATCTATGAAGGCCAGCATGGCACATGAGAAAGGGTGTGTGGCCAGTGCCACGCCTGGTGATGTTAACACATCGCACCAGGTACTCGTTTAAGGCCGAGTCGACAAAGGGGAGGCACAGAACTTTAAGTTCATTTATTTGGTATAGCCCTGTGAGCCATTCGACTCTTGAATCGGGTGCAACCGCAACAAACAAAAAACATGAACAAGAAAACATCTTCAAGTGACTATGTGACTATGTGCAAACAGAAAATTCAAGAAAAGACAGCAAAATATTGCAGAAAAAGCACCGTACACCAACGCTGTGTGCAAAAATCTCAGTGGGATGCAAGTCAAACAACAACAACCACAAGACAACTTAGATTAAGGCCATCAGTCTACTGGTTAGGATATTCTTCACCAATCTTGGCCGTGAGCGGGAATCGAACCCAGGTCACCGGGTTCATAGCGCAGCGCGCTAAACCACTGCGTGACTGCTCCACCAGTAAAACACGCCACACATGCAAATGCACACAACGCACGCAGGTGTGAACTGTGAGGCACCGCAGTGACACGTGCGGTGGTGTGCGTGGAGAAGGAACGCACCGTGAAGTGACGGCAGGTGTATTCCATCCACGCCTCGGCGCAACCGATGTAATCCTGTGAGTGCATCGTGGTGAGGGGGAGTGGGGGGTGTGGGGGTGTGGGGGGTGTGGTGGCAGGTGGGGGGGGGGGGTTTGGGGCAGCACAGGTCGACGATGTGGATCGCAGAATTTCATAGACCACGACGGCATTTCGAATTGGATTTCACGGCGGACGTTGCCATTCAACTTGTATAATTACAGCAATGTCAATACATTTACACACAACAAGCCACTTTGTTGAGTGATCTTTTGAGGCCAGGTCGCCTCTGAAATAAAAACTATGTAGCTCAGTGGGCCTTACCTGGTAAAATAAAACGTTTTCTTACGTTAAGATAATGTTGTGAATGGGTATATAATGCTACAGCCCCTTCACGATTCTATGAGCTGTCACTGATTGGCAGAGGTGGGACAAAGTCATTGTTATGCAAGTCCAAGTCGAGTCTGAAGTCATCAAATTCATGACTCGAGTCTGACTCGAGTCCAAGTCACATGACTCGAGTCCACACCTCAGAGGTGGGACAAAGTCATTGTTATGCAAGTCCAAGTCGAGTCTGAAGTCATCAAATTCATGACTCGAGTCTGACTCGAGTCCAAGTCACATGACTCGAGTCCACACCTCTGCTGATTGGGGACAATTCCATTCAAGATCGATTCCTTCATTAACCATGTGGTGAATGCAGCGCCCCTAATGGCTGTAGGCGTCACATGAACTCATTGTTGTTCGTGAGCTCATCTGACGCATGCCCTCAAATCACTCCTTCCCATGTTTTTAATATCGTCATGATTCACTCGCGCATTAAAGTCACGTAAAAGGTTAATATTTAGCCAACACCAGGGACAAGAGGTCATAGAAGGCAGCTCACAGATGGCTACATTCGATGGGGGTGTAGGTCACCATCGTTCCTCACTCACGCTATTTTTTTTTATATAACCTGATCAGGCCCACTGAGCAATATAGCTTGTTTTCAGAAGCGACCTGGCAATAAATGGTAGCCCAACAAAGTGGCTCATCTCATCGATATTTATAGCAGCCAAATACTCTGGCAGGAAAACTTCAAACATGACTCGGTGTCAACCCAAAAACACATCAGAGACCTCAACAGCACAACGGCTGAAACCTGTGCAACGATAACACACCCTTTAAAATCATCATCATCATAACGTTGCAAATTTCCTCAACACACGAGCGTGTCAGTGCCACGTGAGCGTCGAACCTGGGGGCTGCGCAGCTTCGTGATGACTTTCCACGCCTCGTTGAGCACGTGCAGGCGGTCCGACTCGGGGGGGTCGGCTGACTGCCAAGCTTCGCCCCAGCGACCGGAACAGAAGATGCTGCCACCCACCCAACACGAGGAGCAAGGGAACACGCATAACCCCCTCGCCTCCACCCACCACCACCCCCTTACCCTCCTGCCCCACCCCCTCCCCCAACCGGTTCCTCTCGCGATTTTGCAGATCCGAGCCAGGACCAAAAGATATATACGCTGGCCTCAAATCTGAATCTGGCTCAGGGCCCAGCAGGGACGCGAGAGAGGGGGTTAATCAACCCCCGTTCATTTTTGCGTGACGTCAGCGGCAAGCGCTTGCGTTCTGGAGCTTGCTGGACCGCGCTGGGCCGGCTCGGAACGGCTCCGGCGCAGCTCGGTTGCACAGTGGAAAAGGGCTTTGCGTGGGAAGCCATAACACAATCAATCCTGACCGCGCTGCCTCAAGGTTGTCAAGCAAGCTTCCAAACAGCACTCAAAACTGCTTTCGTCCGCTTGTTTATCTATCATTTCGATCCCGGTCCACCGTCAATAACTGCCCTAGGCATAGATATTGCAGTTGTGTCCCTGCGACGGATGTCTCCAATTGCTTAGCACTCAAGGGGGATATTTCCTGGGGTAAAGTGCGGGTACTCGTACCCTCTTTCAATAGGTCTGGCGAGGGTGGGAGTGGAGGTTAAACATTTCCTCTCTCTTTAGGAGCTCTTGGTACTCCTCTAGAGGAAGCCTTTCTCCCAGCAGTGGCAGTGAGCGAGCAATTGCAGGGCTGCGCCTTTTTCTGTTATGGACCAAGAGATGGTGCTGATGATGATGACGACGATGACGAAGCTATCCGGGTTACATCACGTATATTGTCACAATGCTGTGTCTGTGTGCACCTCCCATTAGCACAGTTGGCTATGTACAATGCGATAGAAATTCAACATACATACTACATAAATATGTGCAGATTGGACGGTGCCGGGGCGGTGGATTCAATGGGGTTGGGGGAATCAGGGGAGGGGAGGGTGCGGTGGGGCACCTTAGGGAAGCCAGAATCGTCGCATTCCTTGATCATGGGGATGAGGGCGGTCGTGCGAGCGGCGATGAACTCTGCTCGGAACGCCGACATGATGGAGTTGAGCAGCAGCCCACTGCTCGCAACAAGAGGGGGATCGTGGGAATGGGAAAAGGAAGGAGGGGCGTGCGAAATGAACACCACAGTTAAGCTTCCGGTACAGTTCACGCAGCAGGACACTTACTTAGCTGACGATCAATAAGTGCAACGCAATATCAACGGGCAACGATCAATTAGAGCAATCGGGGGGGCAGGGGTGGGATAGGTCATGACCTGTTTCCAACTTTTCTGCATCTCTCCATCATCTCCACGAGCACAGTCTGAGGGAGATAAATAGAACAACACCCCGTCAACCAAACAAGTCGCACACCCCCTGCCCAATGGTGACCCAGCGTGACACTGGCTGTGTGACCCAAGGTAGAGGTCGGCCCACTGACCTCTGGGGCTCGGTAGGCCAGGCACTGCAGCACCCAGTCGACGGCAGGTGAGTACAGGGTGAGGTACATGGGCATGTCCAGGCCCTGCGTGGCCAGGAGGTTCTGTACGCTGTTACTTTGCAGCTGTAAAGAGACAGGGGTGCGACAGGAAGAGGTTCTGTACGCTGTTACTTTGCAGCTGTAAAGAGACAGGGGTGCGACAGGAAGAGGTTCTGTACGCTGTTACTTTGCAGCTGTAAAGAGACAGGGGTGCGACAGGAAGAGGTTCTGTACGCTGTTACTTTGCAGCTGTAAAGAGACAGGGGTGCGACAGGAAGAGGTTCTGTACGCTGTTACTTTGCAGCTGTAAAGAGACAGGGGTGCGACAGGAAGAGGTTCTGTACGCTGCTACTTTGCAGCTGTAAAGGGACAGGGGTGCGACAGGAAGAGGTTCTGTACGCTGTTACTTTGCAGCTGTAAAGAGACAGGGGTGCGACAGGAAGAGGTTCTGTACGCTGTTACTTTGCAGCTGTAAAGAGACAGGGGTGCGACAGGAAGAGGTTCTGTACGCTGTTACTTTGCAGCTGTAAAGAGACAGGGGTGCGACAGGAAGAGGTTCTGTACGCTGTTACTTTGCAGCTGTAAAGAGACAGGGGTGCGACAGGAAGAGGTTCTGTACGCTGTTACTTTGCAGCTGTAAAGAGACAGGGGTGCGACAGGAAGAGGTTCTGTACGCTGTTACTTTGCAGCTGTAAAGAGACAGGGGTGCGACAGGAAGAGGTTCTGTACGCTGTTACTTTGCAGCTGTAAAGAGACAGGGGTGCGACAGGAAGAGGTTCTGTACGCTGTTACTTTGCAGCTGTAAAGAGACAGGGGTGCGACAGGAAGAGGTTCTGTACGCTGTTACTTTGCAGCTGTAAAGAGACAGGGGTGTGACAGGAAGAGGTTCTGTACGCTGTTACTTTGCAGCTGTAAAGGGACAGGGGTGCGACAGGAAGTGCACGTGCACGTGTTTGCGAGCACATGGTTGAGTGTGCATGGGGTGCGTGTGCACACGCGTGTGTGTACGTGTATGCAAATGTGCGTGAGCGTGTATGTATGTACATGAGCATGCGAGGGTGTGTGTGTGTATGAACGTACGCGTGTGAGTGTGTGAGCGCGCAAGTGTGTAAAGCATATGTACGTAAGTGAGAGCAAGCGAGTGAGCATGCCAATAAGAGTGTACGGAAGGAAGAAAACAGGGCCTGAACATTAGCTCACATGCTTCAACGTAATATTTAAACGTTATTTTAGACACATTTAACATGACGATAATGTTGTCTTCAAAAAATTTCCTCACAAAATGTGATCCCGCTAGCAGTGTCATTTTATGAGACGCACAATCAATGTAGAACTCTTGTAGGGCAGAACAACCCCATGTTAATTTATGGCCCGCAGACTCAGACTGAACAGAACTACTTCTGAGATACCGGCAAATGACCTCTGACGTACACAGTAGGGGGCAATACTTTAACCTCCACTGTGGTACAAAGTTGTATTAATCACATGACCAGAATTGTGATAATCGGGAGCAGGAATTGAACCAAATTAAGTGCAATATCAAATTCTAGATTTGAAGCTTTCGTGACTGCAAGGATTCATATTCTTAGGTTTTTTCGGTAAAGTCACGTAGGTAAAAAAAAATACAGCTATCGTGCTGTGACGGTTCCACCTGAAGACGGAGGCTTGTGTTGCCTCCGAAACGTCGTGGTTTTTTATTTATTTTATTTTTATTTTACTTTTATTAATTTTTATTTTTTACCTACGTGCAATATCAAATTTAATACAATGGATTGTATTTGGGCTATCACTTGTAACAGGGCTGAGACCATCAACTTACTTCACTTGAGAACCCATTCATTGGATCCCAGGATATCAGCGGTATCACTTCAGCACTTTTTACCAAAGCTCATGACCACAGCTCTCTACCCAGTGGCAGCCATCGGCTCACAGTTTCCACGGCCGCTCGCACCCTCACACCTGCTTGAAGGTGAGCAGGAAGTCGAAGAAGTTGCAAGTGAGCAGCTCGCGTCGGTGAGGCGCCCCCTCCACGCCCACCTGCGCCACAGCACAGGCCACCACAACGCAGCGGTACGGTAACAAGCACCACAGCGGTTCGAAGCGATTGGTCAGCTTGCAGTAACAAAGGTCACCGTGTGAAGTGTCGAGGGAGTAGATTTGCGACGATGCGTTGATTCAAATTGATCTTCACGCTGATGCGTGCATGAAATCGTGAACGTCGGATATCAACTATTTGAGAATCGTCCAAATGACTCGCAAAGTGATTTCTAATTTTAAGCTTAGGCCAACGGAGCGGGGAAAAAATAATACAAACGAGATGGGGAAAAAAAAACAAAGAATACAAATGGGGTGTAAACATGTGGAACAAAAAATTATCGATTCCTGAAAGGAATCACGGTCACTAATCGTGACAATTCATCGAATCACAGGGAGGGTAAAAATCATTACGAGCCTAATAGAACCCCTCTGCTGCCACCTCCGTCTATGGCTCTGATGTCACTGTCTCAGTGCTCCCGAGGTGGGGGGAGCTGCAGGGGGGGGGGGGTACAGGGGTAGGAGTGCAGGTGCAGTCCGAGTGGCTCACCCGGCAAATGTACGCGCGCGCAAACATGGCGACGAGAGGGTCGCCCACGCCGCGCAGCATGGCCGCCAGCCGTGGGAGCACCTCCTCGAAACCACTGCACGCACGGCATGAACGCACGGGATACGATGTGAACACGCGCAGATTACGTCAGCACGGGGAGCATGACGTGAACGCACAAGGCACAACGTGAACACGAGCGGTGACGTGAGCACGTGGAAGCGTACGACGAAAACACACGTGATACGACGTGAACGCAGAGACGACGTGAACACGGAAGGCGTGACGTGATCGCATGGGATGTTGCGTAAACACGCAGGATGCCAGTAACATGCGGGACACCGGTATGTAAGTGTTTATGTTGAACTTCTTTCGTATCGTACGTAGCCAAGCGTGCTAATCGGAGGTGCGGCGAAGGACAGCAAACTAAACACAAAAGCAGTTCTAAAGGAGTCCTGAAACTCACGTGGTGTACGTCGCAAGGCACAGCAACTCGATTACAGGGGACAACACAGCACGAAGTTAAGACAACCAAACGCCTTTGGCCACGTAAACACGTGGCGCAGGGCGCGCGCCCGCAGCCCTGCATCGCGCAGCCACGCGGCCGATTACCTCGTTTTGACGAAGCGGCTGCACCTCAGTATGGCCGCCTCCACGTAGCTGCAGTACGGTCAGGGGGTCAGGGATCACGGTCGACAACGTAGACGTGCGTGTGGTTGCGTTACGCGCGCGTTCGCCGTCGACGACAATTACTCGGGGCAAGGTGGAGGGAGAGAAAGGCAGATTTTCCGTGCGCCGCATCTCGCCGTGAAGGATACAGCCGCGGCACCAGCTCGCGGATGGAGGCGACCTTGTAGAACCAGTTGAGGCAGGTCTCACGTGCGGAGTCCGGGACCAACTCCGGGCTTATGGAGTCTACCCGACGCCACGGCACACGCGGGGAAAGACCGCACGGTTCACTCCAGACACTCGCTCACCGGCGGCCAGTCGCCTCTTTATGTTAACTACCTCGCCTGGTGTACAGGAGGTCGTGCGTTCGATCCTGACCCTGACGCCTGCTGTATATTTGGAGTCTGCATGTCTCTCTCCCCGTGGTGCGCGTGGATTGTTCTCCGCGTCTTCCAGTTTTTCCCTCGACATTTAGAATCAACATGCATTTAGAGTAATTGGCTGCTCTCCATTTCCACATGATAAGCCACTTCGTTGGGCTATCATTTGTAGCAAGGTCGCTTCTGAAAAAGAGCTGTATAGCTCAGTGGGCCTTACCTGGTAAACCTAAAACATAGACCAATAGTTTAGTATTTTATCACTACTCTATCGCTACTACTATGGTTACGTTGATGCCTCGTGCCATGGTGAGGACTCGGTCTACCAGACTGTTTCCAGTCTCGTCCATACGATGTTCAACCAGCACATTGCAGGTCACGACACTTCTCCTTCGGCTTCTTCCCTTGCACAGCTCCACCCTGGTAATTCCCTGCCATCATCAAACTTTCCACAAGTTCTCGTAACCCTCAATTCTAGAAATATCTCAACTCGCATCTATTACAATGTCAGCAGCCCTGTTTCGTGCTGGCAGCTTGATGTGTTGAAGTCCTTTGGGCCTGTGCTCTGAAACCCTCAGATATAAAAATCCTAAATGACCACTCCGCCGGCTCTCACGTGGACCGATGCCGCACGAGAGGACACGAATGAGGACCGACGGAGCTAGCTCGTCTCACCTGGAGAGAGGGCCGGGGCACCTGGTGGTCGACCCTCGTTGCACATGGCCCAAATGCGGTCGTGCACCAGGCGGCCTGCGACCAGACACACGCGCGCGTGTACAAAAAAGCACCATGTAATACGGATTTTTAAGCAGCAGTGTCAGACGCAGAGATACCCTGTATTCGTGAGCGACGATTGGGTCGCTTTCCACACACGCCGTGCGAGCGCCTTCGATTGGCTCGTATAGGACGACAAGTTTTCCCCGTAGCAACGCTGTATGTATGTTGAGCTTCTTTCGCACCGTACGTAGTCAACCACCCCTAATCGAAAGTGCGGAGGAAGAATGAGTGCTGCGCATTCTTCCAGCCTGCAGTCCGCCACAGGTCAACAACGACCAGACCTAGCGTCAAGTATAATTGTAATTTGTAATCAATTGCAATCACAATGTAATTGCTGCTGCTGTAATAGTAATTGACCACAGGTCCGATGACACCCACAGCTTACAAGAGGCATGATGGAGCAAGCTGAAGCTAAAGATGACCATACTGCCAGCAGGTGAGTTTGCTGTCTCTAGACACAGTGAAACTCTCTTGGATCAATTACATTCTCATTTTATTTCCTTATTCTGTGGATTAGAAGATGAATGTTTCCCCCCTGTACTCTAAATCAAAAGTTGGCATTGCATCTTATAGCCCAGTAGGTGAGTGTGCGAGTGAACAGATTTGTACGACGCTATTGACACTAGGCACAACTTTTTTGGGTGGGTTCTACTTTCCAAAGCATCTTATAATCCAGAGAATACGGTAAAAACAAGTGGGAGTACTCCCCCACACACACACACACACACTCGCGGTACTTTTGAGAATAGACGGGAACTCTCGTTGTCGCAACGAGGGCGAGGACGAGGCTCACCGAAGGTGTCGAGGATGTCCGTGATGAGGACGAACTTGCTGGGGTAGAAGCTGATGACGCTCGTGTCGGAGAGGAGTTTGGAGCACTGGGACAGGGTGAGTTTGGGGGCGGAAAGACACAAGAGTCGGGTTTGAATAGGAATGTGTTTTCTATTCACAATTATTCCAGAACCGCCTCATTTGTCTATCTGGTCCACCAAGGAACATTGAGTGTGTACGGCTGTAGAATTGCACCTCCAAAGATTATATTCCTTGCCTCATCCATTGCCGAGGGAAAAACATCGTACGTAAACTTGTATATGTGTGTTAATGCCTCTTTCTTCAGGATTTTTATCAACTAACCACTGTTCAGGTATTTCTATCATCATGGCCTCCTCACCTGGATGACGATCTTCAGGGCCTTAACCTTCTGGTCAGTGGCCCAGGCCTCGCGAAGGGCCTGGCCCTGCTCCTCCACGCGGCCCACGTATTCCTGCGTGCTCAGGTTCAGCATCTCCCTCTGTGAACCCTGCGCGCCGCCAAAACATCGACACCTGCGTCGTCATCATCGTCGTCAGCACCGTCACTGCAGTCATCAGCCATGGGGCCGTGATGACGAGCAGAACTGAAAAGCGAACAAAAAGTTTGAAATGGAGCCGGAGGTGGGGTTAGGGAACGAGTTGGGTCAGTGGGAGGGCTCGTGCTAGAAGTAATGGATAGAACTCGTGGTTGATTGGCAAGTTGGTGTCAGTGTTAATGGATATTACTAGTTGCTGGTTGCTAGGCGTTTAGTGCTATGGTCAGTGGGAGGGAAAGTACTCGTAGCTGATTGGCTAATCAGAATCTGGATATGTATTCATACTAGGGGAATCTGATGACCTATAAAGCTCTTTTTCACAGATGTTCAGTAGTTCTGGAGTGGTTCGATGGTGATGGTTAAGAGTCGGGATATTACTAGTGATTGATTGAAGGTAGGGCTAGTACTGGTGGCGAGTTGGTTAGGGTAAAAGATAGGGATCTTACAAGTGGCTGGTTGGCTAGTCAGGCATGATTAGGGTCAGTGCCACTATCTGGTTGGCCAGGGTCCTCAGTTTGCCCCTCTCCATTGACGCACGTACATATGCCTTGCCGTTGTTTTGTTGCCAGTGTTTACGGTGCCACAGTGAGTCCTCACCTCCTCCAGGTCATCGAGCTCCTCCAGGCGGCTCCTCACCTTCTCGGGAACAGCAGCTCCCGCACCATGCCTCCCTAGGGGCGCGAGCATGCAACAGCAATTGCACACACGCACAAGCACAAAGCATCACACACACACACACACCAACATCACACACGGACCAGAATCTCACATACACACAATCAGCAGCTCACACGCGTACAGGCTTTACACACACACAAGCATCGGGATGTGGGTGCACGACACATAATTCTCGGCAGAGCTACTTAAGACTCTTCCTGGAGTTGCCCAAGCTACGTGATCGTCGTGAACATGTGCCTTTAACAACTAACCGGTGCACTCAAAACTAACCTGAATCCTTGTCTGCGCCCATGGAAAGCCTCTGTGAAGACACAAAATTAGCACACACATAACTACTAGGTATATGTCAATACGTAGATTCATCAATTAAAACCAGTTTCTTATGTTTACTGTTCATGAGTTTAAGCACATCATCTTTAAAAAATGGGCGTCCTTCACACCAGGGTGACTCAAAGCCCTTTAAATGTGATAAAACATAGCTAAAGCATCGCTTAAAGAATTTGTTTAAATAGCTTAAACGACACAGATGCAAATTCTATTGAAATATAATGGAGTGGTGATGCAGTGGTTAGCACACTTTACTATGAGCCCAGCTATCTAAACCTAATCCCTGTCCAGGGTTAACATCAGTGGCGAGCGTTGTCTGAAGCAGACCTGGGTCCCCCCCCCCTTTACCATACTGCACTGACCACAGTGGTGAGGGGTCTAGTCAAACAAGCTTCACAATCAACACAGCATGGGGACGCCTTCATCCAGCAGTGGATTGACAAAAGGGCAATGCCCTGCTCGATGAAATGTGCAAATTAGACAGAACAAAGGAGAAACAAAACAACATTTTTTTTAAAACAGTTACAATTAATCAAATCTCTGGGGTGCATTGATCGTTATGTGCCTAGTAAATACATCCATTGTTAAAGTGTGTGGCAATGAAATAACGCTCCCACGTTTCCCCATTTATCCCCGTCCCAGTCCCTCTAAACCTGTCTCTCTCACCCCTGCTCCTGTCTCCTTCCCTCTCCTCCCTGTGTTCCCCTGGGTGAGTTGATGGGGCAAGGGATGTGTACCAGGGAGAGCTTCTCGACTGTGGTGTAGCGTGCCAGGATCTCAGGCCGCTTCTGGGCCCAGTTCTGGAAGTCGCTCCCCAAGCCCGTGCTGGAGCCGCGCTTCCTCTGCTCCCCGTCCTGCCAGCGCTCAGCGGGTGGCAACACGAATACAGCACAGCGCAGCGTTGAGCATGAAGGGTAGTGATGTTGTCGAGCAAAGTTACGTTCTGAAAAATAATTGATTTAGTCAACTGATTGTGTCTTCATGATAGCTTTGCGCCATAGGGAAAGCGTGAATACCAAATGTTAAATATTCAACTAAATATTCTGGGTTGTTTCGTGCAGTCATTCATACATCAACTCACTTGAGCTCCTTGTTTAATCACAGGTGGATGCCCAGATTCCAAAACCCAGAATCTCAGTGGAGCTAGCTCAATGCTCTAAGACTGTATCAACCCCTGGGCAACCCAGCCACCTCCAAGTCAAACCCTACCCAAGCTAAAACACCAGAGTTAATGATGACAAAACGCAACGAAAATTCATATGGCCCATAATTGAACGTGTGGTGATGGAGCAGTTGCGCAGTGCTTAGAATTATTCACTATGAACCCAGCCACCTGAGTTAAATTCCCATCAACAGCTTTACATATTAGTGGCAATTATCTGGAACGGTCCTGACCAGTATGGAAAAGTATGGTCAAACAACCCCCCATTACAGTTTAACACGTAGGCTTTCACGACCAATACCATCCACAATATAGGTTTGTTTGGGTTAGATCGCGTAAATATAAATGTCGTTAAAACCACCACCACCCAACACAGCCAATTAGTAAGGTTTGTCACGTAAACAGAACATCCCAATTCGTTACGAGTACAGCAAACCGGTGTGTTGGAGAGCAAATCCACAACATTTACATAACTGACACAACATAGGCGAGTGCCTTATTTCAGCTGGTGTATGGTGCCTGGGCCACAATGCGATTGAATATCCATCAAAATTTGTTGCCTGACAGACTTGCACCATGTTCTACGGCTATCGCCTTGGATCTCACCCTGTTGGGGTCCCCCACTGCCCCCAAAGGCTCAGCGGACGCCATGGCAATCTGTGTGAGGGGGTCGCTGCCTTCCAGGGCGGACATCAGCGGGTCCAGCAGCACAGCGGCCCCGGCGGGCGCCGCTGACGATGGAGTGGACACCGACGTGGAGAGCGAAGACGTGCTGCCCTTGTGTGCCCCAGCCTTTGCCGCTCTGCCCTTCGACTCGGTCACCTGACCCAAGGGGAGGACGGCAGGGGAAGAAGAGTCAATTGACTTGGTAAATTGGACTTTGGGGTTTAAAATGACTCTGACCCTTAGTTTCCAGCAAATACATTTAAGGCTGATTTTGGTGTGACAGTATCAACACTCCGATTAGCATGGTGGGCTTCGTAAGGTGCCAAAGAAATGTAACATACATACAACACTTGAAAGATGTGGCAAAAAACTGTTTTTACATTTGTGCTTTCCAGGCTGCCAAACATGAGTTTCATTGTGTTCACTAGAGTGATCCGAGCAGTGATTTTAAATGCTTTTCAACTCTTTCTAACTAAAGGTCGAAAGATTGAATGCATTTGCTGTCTGTAACAGAGGGGCACGAAAAACGACTCCCTTGCTTGTGTGCACGCGCTAAAACAGGTACAGCAGGAGCCAGGGCTAAAGAGAGGCCCAACTGTGGCCATCGTGCCCAGACCCGGGAGAGGCCTGGGTGCTCTGGGTCAGGAGCCACGTGGGGCCTCACCGTGATGGGCTTGAGCGGGTGATACTCGCCAGGCTCCACGGGCAGCGCCTCCAGCCATGCGCGCTCGCGCTCCCGCGCGTAGTCACGGTTTCGTGCGTGCCTGCAGGTCACGGAGGTCGCGAGGTCACAGAGATACGAGGTCACGTCAAGGCCATAGCTGCTGTTGCTGGTGCGGCACCACAACTATTAATGCATGCAGCACCGGTTTCAGGAAATTGGGTCTTTCACGAGCGCGCTCCGTGAATGACGGGGCAAAGCGAACATTCAACGTCGTAAAGAACACAGCAACTGCAAAACCCCGGTTACATCCCCGTTACACATCCTTTAACTCAACCCCCAAACCTGACCCCACTATTTGCAAGGCCAGTGCTGAACACAAAAAGCGCGGGCTCCATCACAGAAAAACTTTGCATTAAACCACCCCAAGTGAATTCCAATCAGTTTCTCAATTATTACAAACTAGCTTTACTACCCGGCTTCGCCCGGGACTTGGATCCACCACGCCCAGCCGCCTTTGTCTCCCCAGTGGCGATGTTCACACACCACAGCAGTTACTCGTTTGAGGCCGAGTCGACCTAGGGGAGGCCCAGGAGCGGTTTAAATAATCGTCACCGGTGGTGGCCGTGGTGTACAGTCTGTAAAGTACCCAACATGGCAAATTCCAAGTTTGTTGCATGTCGGGAAGTACGCTAAACATTTTGAACAGACACACATCATCACAACTTTGCCTTTTATACATATGGAGATGACACGTCCATGGAAGGGACGACGGCTGATGGTGCACGACCAGTGAAGGAGTGGCAGCCAAGCAAAGTAACCCGTCCGAGGGGCACGACCACAAAGGAGACGGAACGATGTAAACGTTGAGCGTCTTTCGCACCGTACGTAGCCAACCGCGCTAATCGGGAGGACGGATTACGGGCGGATCATTGCACCGCAAAACCGTGACAGATGGCGACGGGCGTGGAGGGGTGGAGGAGAGAGGCCTTCATCCAGCAGTGGATTGACCACGGCCGACGACGACGACGATGATAACGATGAAGTCGTGAGGAGCACTTCGAGGTCTGTCATGCAACTGGGGGGGCCACTGCTTCCGAGCCAGCGCCGCGCTTCTCGCGAGCTTACAACTCGCGTCTCTCGTCAGGACGCGTTATCGAAAATGTTATTATAATTATAAGACGCACTATTTCTTCCCACACCCCACACCCCGCGTGTGTTAATGAAAGCGAAGTGCTGTGGGCGCTCATTGCAACGCGGCAAGGCGGCCTTGTTGTTGCGTTTGCGAGCGGTGGTGGCGCGCGTGACCGCATTTGTTTGAACTTTATTGACAACCCGGGTTTGCGCCTTGACGTTAATCACGACTAAAAGGTTTAGAATTCGTTTCGAGATACTCGTAAATAATAACAACAACAGCGGTATAATAATAATAGTGATGATGATGCGAGAGAAGAAGTGGTGGTGGTTATACGCGGCCCCTTTAAAACGTCACCGTCGCTTACGGCTCCACGGGGTGGAGGAGAGAAAGAATGGAGGGGAACCTCCCTCAATCTACTCTCAACGTTTTGTTCTGAACGTTCACCGTCGTCAGCGTTCGTTCGTTCGTCACTAAATCTGCCAACGGCGCACAAAAACAAGCGGAGGAAGCGAGAGTGGAGCCCCTCCAACTCACCACTGCACGGCGGCCATGACTGCTGTCCGCGGTCACGTGAGCGGCGTGGTCACGTGATGCCCCCCTCCCGCGCACCCCCCCGCCCTCCTTCCCCCTCCCCTCTCGTTGGGGCCCAGTGACGTCAGAGCAGGTGGCGCCAACATTTGAATTCCCATGCAACGCGTTACGGGGGTTGTGTGCGTGTGTGTATGTGCGTGTATGTGCGTGTGTGTGCGTATGTGCGTGTGTGAGTGTGTGTGTGTGTGCGTGTATGTGCGTGTGTGTGCGTGTATGTGCGTGCGTGTGCGTGTGTGTGCGTGTGTGCGTGTGTGCGCGTGTGTGCGTGTGTGCGCGTGTGCGCGTGTGTGTGTGTGTGCGTGTGTGCGTGTATGTGCGTGTATGTGCGTGTGTGTGCGTGTGCGCGCGTGTGTGTGCGCGCGTGTGTGTAGGGAGCGGTAGTGTAGCGGTTAGCGCGCTGCGCTATGAACCTGGCGACCTGGATTTGATTCCAGCTCACGGCCAGCACGGGTGACGATTATCTGAACCGGTCCTGGGCCTCCCCTAGGTCGACTCAGCCTCAAATTAGTAACTGGTGGGGGTTTGTAAAAACATTGCAATTGGGGAGACAAAGGCGGCCGGGCGTGGGGCTGGCTACCCCTTCGCGTGCCGTGCCGGCCTTCATAGGTGTTCACGAACAGCACTTGTCCCAACAGCGTGTTAAGGCTATACGGGCGATCTTTCTCTTTGTTGAACTTCTTTTCCACCATACGTTGCCAACCGTGCTCATCGAAGGTGTGGGGGAAGGACAACAAACTCAGCACAAAAAGCAGTTCTAGATTTAAAAGTGCATAAGCTCCAGTAGCTTCCTAATACCGGAAGGAAGAGCGTTCCAGACGGCCACAGAAAGCGTATCTGAAAGCTCGCAATGCTGTGACCGTCTTTGTTCAATGGCCAGACGAAAGCCGCTGCTGCGAGGTTGACCGGCGTTCACGTGATCGTTTATGCTCCTTGACAAAATCGACAAGGTATTGTAGTTCATTTGTGACAGGCACTTTATGTGTAATGAGTGCAACCTTATAGATGTTGTCATCTCAGACGATTTACCTCTAGATTTAGATTATTTAAGGTGGTCTCACAAATTAGATTAAGCTAATCACCTCTTCATATTGAGGTTCGAGGGGAATTTTCGAATACGCCTCATGGCGCCCGAGCAAGGGATGGCTTACACAATCGAAGCAATGGTGCAGGGCCGGTTATAAATAACACTGGTCAACAACAAAAATATCTGGCCCGGACTTTTGCAGCTGTTTAAGACTAATTTCAGGGTGCTGATTCCAAATCTGATCTCAGATTTGCTCTATCACATCTCATGTTAATGCTATCGGCATACCCCATTTTCATTGATTTTACCTGAAATTAACTCTGTCACTTATTATTGCAAGTTGTTGCGAGTCAGTGACTGCTTTAGTGTTAAAATATGCTGCTGTATTTTTAGGATAGTGTGTTTATAATATCATTTTATGTAGATATCCACATTTATTTAATATTTTTCTTCTGCAGTTTTTATTGAAAATGCAATATTTGATATCTCAAAAACCTGATGTGATAGACAAAAACTGATGCCAGATTTGGAATCAACACCCCCAAAATTACCTTAAAACCGTTGGAATACCTTATGCCAGAAAAAGTGCGTTGACCAGTGATAAGACTTGTCATAGCTCCAGGTAATAAGGGAGTTAAGGCAGTTTAGCGTTGTAAAGATGTAAGATAAATGTGAGGCTCACGAAACGGTCCAAGAATTAATAGCCACTGCACCACCGTACTCAGTTTACAGAGGTGATTTTTCCTTTTAAGGGGTGGCTGCTCGTTTTATTCAGGTAACCCACAGGACACAACAAATGCATTTCTTTATATGATGGTTTATTCAAATCAAGGCACATTGTGTACAAGTGATAGGTAGCTTATGCAGAAAAATACAATCCATAATATACAGAATACACGTCTCACTTGTAAATTTTATAATCACGTGTGCATCTCAGTCTACCTATAAGAAGAATTACATGTCAAACTATGTTACCGCACTCGCTAGCAGGCTCCTGTAACCCTTTAATCCATCACCAAGCATACAACACACGCACTCGGCGTTCAACAAATCACTCTTTGCGAAACAAACACTTTGAAAATATTTTTCTCCCAGTTTAATTCCAGTCCTCTTGTCAGGAGATGAAGAGGTGTCCATTTGTCAACTCTCCAAGTAGAGCAGTTGCATTTCTCCGTGTTAAAGAAATGAGCTGCAAAAAATGATATTACAGAACTTTTTTCTGAGCTCCCTTTAGGTAACTTTCTTTTTTAATCCACATACTATGTCGTGCTGCAGTTTCCCACGTGCCCTGCTACAGAGAAATGTTTAATCTTAATTTGGCGAATGGTAGTCAAAATTTATATTGCTTTAAATAACTCAAAAGCCAAATTCTGTCAAATGAATGGCACTTATGACCAGATCTTAGTGATAATCTATTTTAATTCTGCTCATTTAACATGGCAATGATATTTCTGTATCCAAAAATGTTCCTTACCTAATTTGATCCCGCTAGCAGGGTCATTTTATGAGATAAACAATCAATGTGGAACTTCTTGTAGGGCAATGCAACTCCATATTAAATTATGGCCCGGGGAAAGTGGACTTAACAGAACCACTTCTGAGATACCGTCAAATGACCTCTGATGTTCAGAGTAGGGGGCAACACTTTTTCCATCCACTGTGGTACAGAGTAATGTTCATCACGTGGCAGTCAAACCAATATTCTAATAATTCTAGATTTGAAGCTTTCGTGACTGCAAGGATTCATACTCTTAGGTTTTTTCGGTAAAGTCACGTAGGTAAAAAATAATAATAGTAATAAAAGTTAAATAAAAATCACGTTTCGGAGGCAACACAAGCTTCCGTCTTCAGGTGGAACCGTCACAGCAAGCGTGCTGTGACGGTTCCACCTGTGATTTTTATTTTACTTTTATAAATTTTAATTAAACAAATAATTTTTTACCTACGTGACTTTACCGAAAAAACCTAAGAGTAATATTCTAATACTCGGAGCAGGAATTGAACCAAACCAAGTGCAAAACCAAACTTAATCCAATTGTATTTTTGGGGGCTATCACTTGTGACAGTGCTGAGATCATCAACTTGCGACACTTGAGATTCCACTTTAATCACAGGTAGCTGAGACTAGTTTCGAATTTAAAATATCAGTGGTTCCAGCTCATTGAACCCTCTAGCTGCCTGACCACGGCCACCGGGCCACATTCACCTACAAACTTTTACACACAACAAAAACTGTAATGTTTTAAATAGTCCAGCAGCACCTACAATCCTATTAGGTATTTCATCAGGATGTCGCCAGGCTATGCAGAGAATACTTCTTTTAAAGGACCATGCCACCTGCACCTATAAAGAGGATTGCGGTTCTATCTTCCTCGGATTTTATGGACCTGGCCTTGCACAGGCTTGTATCATTCGCCCATTCTTCTCTCTTCTTTATTTCAATGTATTTCTTTCTTCTTGTTTGGTAAAGCAAAAATGGAAAGGGCCTGACCTTGTCCTAAGACTTTAGATAACCTTGATCAATATGCAGTCTGCCCCAGCTGCCTGGGTGCAGAGCATTGCACGTCTTTGTGACCCATGTGCCGAGCCTTTTTCACCGGCTTTCTGGCAGGCTAGGAGGGACTGGCAGGTCCCACTCCACTGCCTGCACCTTGGTTGCAGGGGACTACCCCTGGTGCTGTCCAGCCCAGCGTTGTAGCATGAGGCCAGTACGAACTGGCCCTGGGAGGCCCAGGGTCGATTCAGAGGAGGCCCAGGGCCAGTTCAGATATCACTTGCCACTGATGTTAGCCGTGGCCAGTAATCACACTCGACACAGTGAACTAACCACTGCGCCAACACCTTCCACACACACACAGACACACACAAACACATACATACATACAGACACACACATTTGTATTACCGCTTGCCAGAATGTGTGTTCTCTAACACAACCCCCCAAGTGAACGTTTCTTGGCTGTGCTTCTATTTTGGCAAATAACTGTTTACATTAGGTAAATATTTCCTTCACACCGCTGTGTTTATAACATTACGATTCTGCCCTTCATGTGCAAACACCCCAAATAAAAAAAAATGTTTAAAGCAAACTGCCAGCCCTTAAAAAGCATATCCAGGGTCTAAAATGGTAATAGGTTTACAGGAAAGTTACCCCTTTCTAAGAACACCCAAAAGATAATTGCTTTTTTAGTTTTTAAAGGTGACTCGGAGGGTTTTAGAGACAGGCGTAAGAGTCTTGCAGAATGAACGCGTCCGGGCCTAGGTCTCCGAGAAGCCTTGCACGGGTATGCTGTATGTGTTGTTATCCATCCCAACAACCGGGTTGCTGAGGGGAAGGAGGGGAAGAGAAGGGGCATCGTGGGGAATGCGGGGACAATGTTAGTAGCAAACCTTACAGAGTTGAATTCATACAAAGTACATCTACAGCCCAGTGTGGTGGTCCAGGTTAAGCCGTGTATTGAGCATATCTTCTCTCAAGCTTTCGCCAACGCACTACTGTGGGCATCTTCAGAAGTTGTGGCGCGTCATGGAGGCTTGAGAAAATAACTTCTCAGCAAGCGGCCGAACCTAACCCGAATATCCACACCTGGATTTACAAATGCGTGCCGAATCCTACATGCGACGTTTACAGCCGTTTGTCGGTCCACTGCTGAATGAAAGCCTCCCCAAGCCATGTTGGTCGTGGGAGTTGTTTGGAGACACATAGCACACTGGTCAGGACGGGTTGGTGAAGGAGGGGCTGGGCGGGGATTCCCAGGACATGTTCAAATGACACTCGCCACCGACGTTAGCGGTGGCCGGCAAATGAAAGGTGATGCGATTGCAGGCGATGTGGAGCTCGTATTAAAGGCGAGGCCGGCGGGACACATCGCTCGCTCGCTCGCGGGGGGCACCTGTAGGCTGGTGTCTCCCCCTGCTTGTCGTCCAGGCCGGTGATGTCCTCCTTCAGCGGCTTCTTGCGGAAATACCTGCAGCAGGAGCGGAGGGGAGATAGGAGGGGGGGGTGAGGCAGGGGTTGGGAGGTCACAGGGGCAAGCATGGGGCCAGCCGTAGCCGTGAAAGGGGCCTGGCGTGCAACGTGCGCCTGTCGGTTCGGTCACCCGCCTGGCCGTGCAGGTGCCTTCCCTGCGAATGTGTAGTATTGGGCCAACTTTGGCATGCGGTTGGAACCGTTGGACCAGCGTTGGCTCATGTTTACTGGGTCGGTGGTGTTATGAGATGTGGGGTTTGTGTGTGTGTGTTGGGTGGTTTCTTGTTCACTAAACCCACATGCGTGTGTGTGGGTTTAGTGACCGGGATTACAGCGATCGGATCGCTGTGGGGTTCACGTCCTGCGGTGTTTATGTTGGGGTTGTGTTGAAGTGTTGCCGTGGTCCTCTCCCCCCACCCCCTCCCTTCCTTTATTCCCCTTTCTCCCCCTTCCTTGGTTAACCCACTGTTCCCTACCGTTATCCCTACAGTTGTAGGGTAGTGAACGCGTGTAACTTTAATCGGCCCTCACTTTGGGGGTGATTTTACTAAGAGGTTGCGGCTGGAACGAGTATGTTGTGCACACGCGAAATGTATCCCCTCTGTGACCTCTGTTATTTTATTTAAAATCATGATCAAGTAAAATAAATAACAATGAAAGAATAAGTGTTGCTGTGGTCTCGTGAGTCTCGTGAACTTCACATGAACGGGAGCTTGAGCAGGGCCCCCTCCTGCCGCTTCCGCATCAGAACGACGGCCGCCACAGCCGCCACGATGCCCAGCAGCAGCAGAAGCCCCACGGAGAGGCCGACGGTAAGACGCGATGAGGTCCCAGGTCCCGACACGGACGACGACGATGATGACGCTGACGAGGACGGGCCGTCTGGAAACATTAATGAGGACAAAGATAAACACAACAATGACGACAACGATGATGATGATGATGAAGAAGAGCCAAATCAGTGTGTTGATTTTACTCTATCATACCATACTCAGGGTTGTGATGGGGTTAGGGTTCAGGGATATGAATAGAATTCGTTAATACCACATCTAGAATATTGCTGTGGCTTGGGTTAGAGTTAGAGGTGCCATGGTGGTGAGATGTTAACTACCTCGCCTGGTATATAGGAGGCTGTGGGTTCCATCCTGACCCTGATGCCTATATATTTGGAGTTATAATGTTCTCCCTGCTGGTGGAAACCCACCACCAACGCCGCTGTGATCCATCACTCCCATTAACATGAGCTGCCCCGCCCATGCTGCTGACACTTGGGCTACGCCCATTTTAAACCTTGATAAATAGCTTGCCTTGAGAGGCTAACCCCCTTTTCCTGATGACGACCGCTTGCGTCGCGATCGAAACGTCGTGGTTTTTATTATAATTTTATTATTTTTCACTTTTATTCACTTTATTATTATTTTTCTACCTACGTGACTTTACCGAAAGAACCAAAGAATGTGTTCTCCATGTGGTCGCATGGATTTTTCTACAGGTCCTCCGGTTTTTTCCTCCACATTTAGAAACATGCGTTTAGAGTATTTGGTTGCTGTAAATTTCCACATGATAAGCCACTTCAGTTGGGCAATCATTTGTGGCCAGGTCGCTTCTGAAAAAGAGCTCTATAGCGCAGTGCGCCTTATCTGGTAAAATAAAAATACATTTATACTGGTAGGAACCCTACTGGTTCCACCAGCCCACAGGGGATTATTGTGTCTGTCCGTCGTGCAGCGAGGGGCTGGGTGGGGAGGGAGGGGCTGGGTGGGGAGGGGAGGGTGGGGAGGGGCTGGGTGGGGAGGGTGGGGCTGGGTGAGGAGGGGAGTGTGGGGAGGGGCTGGGTGGGGATGGTGGGGAGGGGCTGGGTGGGGAGGGTGGGGAGGGGCTGGGTGGGGCTGGGTGGGGGGTGGGAGGGGTGGGGCTGGGTGGGGAGGGGCTGGTCACCCCGTGGTGCCCTTATAAAACTCAACGTTTAACCTACTCACGCCGGCTTGTGCCCGCCCTCACAGTCGGGCATATTTGCGGAATACACCACGTCGCCGTTGACCCTGGCCATTGACCGAGCAACCCAACCTTCCTACCAGCTCCCTCCGCAGGAATGTGTTATACAGATAATGTTGCTGGGCATGTGCACGACTGCCCCCACATCTCACCGGCCACGTGCAAGGACCCGGGTGCGACGGCCAGGTCCCCGAGGCGTCCTCCATGCTGCCCGATGTGGCGCGCCACCCGGCCCTGCAGCTCGTCCGCGGACACCAGGCGGGCGGACGTGACGGCGAGCTCGTAGCGCGCCACCACGCTGCCCCGCGCGAACTCCGTCACCACCGCGCGCACCTCCTCATCGCCCAGCGCCTGCTCCAGCTGCGCGGGTGGTGGTGGCGGGGGCAGCGGCAACGATGGGCAAGGGGGGCAGCGGTTGAGATCGGCGGTAAGAGGGGATGCCGGTTGGCCCCGGCGAATGGCACTAGGCCCACACACTCTTGAATGTAAACCGGCACCCTTGGCGAGCGGCAAAGTTCCCTTTGGAAGTTCGCCCCTTCTGGAAATAACACTGCTACGTATGGTCATTTGTTGCCCGTCACATGACTCGTACAAAGAAAGGGATACGGTGCGTCCGTCAAAGTGGATGAAAACGATTACGTGCTAGTTGCTGCACATAGTCAGTGTGCACCTGCACCTTGAAGAGATCCTTTCCCTTTAAGAGACAAGGCACCGTTGTGGGAGAGAACCCCTCTGCGCTACGAACCCGGCGACCCGAGTTCGATTAACCCTTCACGGCCAACACCAGTGACGATTATCTGAACTGGTTAATTAATAAAAACGATAAAAAAAGAAAGCGCTGTGCCTCTAAGGCCCCTAGGAAATGGGAGTACGGCGCTCACCAGGTGAGCCACGTGCTCTGCCATGGCCCTGAAGACGTTGCTCTCCCTGTCGCCCAGCGCCGGCGTGAACTCCACGTTGTCGAACGTCAGCGAGCCACTGAAAAGCTGCCGCACTGTCCGGTCCGTGAGGGTAAACGGGTTTCAGGGTTAACGGTCAAACAGTACGAAAAAATAATAATCTGTACGGCACTTCATCATTTAAACGCGGCTGTTGTTTTACATGCTTTGTGGCATGTCATGTTATGTACGCACCACTGCGGATATTTACGTTTTTAAGTGCAAATGTTAATACGTGCTTTGGGATAAGTAATTCATTATGCGAAACTGCTGCGTTGGCAGTGGCGAGCGAGCACAAATAATGATAACCTCATCACATTCGTCGATAGCAACACTGTGGATTTCAAAAGTAAAAATAAATAATAGGCAATGTCTTCATAACCATTGCGCAAAACGTTGCCTATGATACATTTCTCTCGTTTAAGGCCACACGGTATTATTGACGAATATGTGGGAATTGAATTTTTTTTATTTATCAGAATAAGGTGCACACATCCACGATATATCTTCGAGCCAGACCTCCACCCGACGCAGCCGTATAAAATACCGTCGTCAAATGATGCAAGCGTGCCGGGTTTTAGTGATTTTTTTTTTTTAACATGCAACATCACCGGTATGAAGCTCAATCTGATGGCCTTGTTGGGAGACACGCCGTGCTACTGCCAAGTTTCATATTTGATGTTCCCCCTGGTGTTCTATTAACCTCGCGCTCGGCATTCGGCATTCGTGCCTACCAGCAAGGACACGCGATTGATTTTAATTGGAAAAAAACGTTGATAATCCTACGCAAAACTAATTCCGAATTGGAAAAAACTAATTTACAGAATCTATTGACAAGCAATGAGATAAACAAATGACAATTCCCACTGAGTGCACCGATACGGATGGAGTGCGTCCTGGAAATGACTAAGTAATCACATCGTGACCTTAAAAGGTTGTCCGTGTTGGGTTGCTGCCATGGCAAGATGTTAACTCCCTCGCCTGGTATATAGGATGTCGTGGGTTCAATCCCGACCGTGACGCCTGTATATTTTGAGTTTGCGTGTTCTGCCTGTGGTCACATGGATTTTTCTCCAGGTCCTCTGGTTTTCCCCTCTGCGTTTAGAATCAACATGCATTTATAGAGTCTTTGGCTGTTATACATTTACACGCGATAAGCCACTTTTGTTGAGTGATAATTTGTGGCCAGGTCTGGCAAAAAAAAAATTACATAATAATTGAAAAAATATTGACAGGGTGGCCCGCGGTTATATTTGGGATGAGCGACGGTGCGAGTTAGCGGGCGAGTGCGTCGGCTGACCGGGGGGCGGTGGCGGCGACGGTGGGGGGCTGGTGGTGCTCGCAGTCCGGCTGGGTTGTGGTGGCCCCATGGCCGTCGTCGTTCGTCTCGTCGTCGTTGTCTCCTCCTCATCTGCACAGACAAACGCGGAGCGCGGGCGTGGCCGCGGCGATCGAACGTCGGATTCGGCGATGATTCGTCGAATCGCAAAAATTGTAAACGACTGCTTTTTGTCGTGGTTGATTACAAGGGCCCCTTTAAAAATGGAGGTCGCCTCCACATCCTGCCTGCCGAAGGTAGGAAACCCCCTGCAAGCCACGCCTAACGTGGCGCAACTGACAATGCTGATGACGTCACAACACCCCGCCCATCAGCTCCTATCCAGTGTCACACGTGGGCGAAGGTCAGACTGTTTTTTTTGTTTGCCTTATCCGTACAATTAGTCGAGTAACAGAACCGATGAATGGGAGAGTAATCGATTACTTTGATGATCGGAGATGCTAACTTTATTTTAAAAATCGCCATTGCAAATCGTCCCCACGGGCATGAGACTGGCGAGGAATTGTGCTTCCACCTGGTGTGGTCAGGTCGGTGCCTGGCGAGCAGGTCGGTTGTTTAACAGCCAAACAGTACACTCAACCCGGAGCGCAACTCATCTGATGAACACGTTAAGTGAGCTACCTGGACACCGACAGGTATGTGATCTCACCTACTACGGACACAGGACAGCTACGTGACCTCACCTGCCTATGGACAGGACAGGTACGTGACCTCACCTACTACGGACACAGGACAGCTACGTGACCTCACCTGCCTATGGACAGGACAGCTACGTGACCTCACCTGCCTGCGGACAGGACAGCTACGTGACCTCACCTGCCTATGGACAGGACAGCTACGTGACCTCACCTGCCTATGGACAGGACAGCTACGTGACCTCACCTGCCTATGGACAGGACAGCTACGTGACCTCACCTGCCTATGGACAGGACAGCTACGTGACCTCACCTGCTACGGGCAGGACAGCTACGTGACCTCACCTGCCTATAGACAGGACAGCTACGTGAACTCACCTGCTACGGGCAGGACAGGTACGTGACCTCACCTGCTACGGGCAGGACAGGTACGTGACCTCACCTGCCTATGGACAGGACAGCTACGTGACCTCACCTGCCTATGGACAGGACAGCTACGTGACCTCACCTGCCTATAGACAGGACAGCTACGTGACCTCACCTGCCTATGGACAGGACAGCTACGTGACCTCACCTGCCTATGGATAGGACAGCTACGTGACCTCACCTGCCTATGGACAGGACAGCTACGTGACCTCACCTGCCTATGGACAGGACAGCTATGTGACCTCACCTGCCTATGGACAGGACAGCTACGTGACCTCACCTGCCTATGGACAGGACAGCTATGTGACCTCACCTGCCTATGGACAGGACAGCTACGTGACCTCACCAGCTACGGGCAGGACAGCTCCGTGACCTCACCTGCTACGGACAGGACAGGTACGTGACCTCACCTGCCTATGGACAGGACAGCTACGTGACCTCACCTGCCTATGGACAGGACAGCTACGTGACCTCACCTGCCTGTGGACAGGACAGCTATGTGACCTCACCTGCCTATGGACAGGACAGCTACGTGACCTCACCTGCCTATGGACAGAACAGCTATGTGACCTCACCTGCCTATGGACAGGACAGCTACGTGACCTCACCAGCTACGGGCAGGACAGCTCCGTGACCTCACCTGCTACGGACAGGACAGGTACGTGACCTCACCTGCCTATGGACAGGACAGCTACGTGACCTCACCTGCCTACGGGCAGGACAGCTACGTGACCTCACCTGCCTGTGGACAGGACAGCTACGTGACCTCACCAGCTACGGGCAGGACAGCTCCGTGACCTCACCTGCTACGGACAGGACAGGTACGTGACCTCACCTGCCTGTGGACAGGACAGGTACGTGACCTCACCTGCTACGGACAGGACAGCTATGTGACCTCACCTGCCTGCGGACAGGACAGCTACGTGACCTCACCTGCTACGGACAGGACAGCTCCGTGACCTCACCTGCTACGGACAGGACAGGTACGTGACCTCACCTGCTACGGACAGGACAGGTACGTGACCTCACCTGCTACGGGCAGGAACGTGATGGTGGCACGGAAGCCGCGGAAGTGGAGCCCCGCGTCGCTGTGGAAGGAGACGTTGAGCGACCGCGCACGCGACGACACGGGCGGCGGCACGGAGTCGGAGCAGAGCACGATGGGAGCGCCGCCCCACTCCACCGTCACGCTGTCGAAGCGGCAGCTCAGCGGAGAGGCGCCCTCCAGCTGGAAGTCCAGCCACTGGTGGGGCAAGAGGGGGGGGCAAGAGGTTGGGCCACGGGAGGCACGGATGGGGGAGAAGGAATGGTATGGAGGAGAAGGAAGCATGGCGGAGCAGGTTGGGATGAGGAAGTCTGGGACATTGGGGGGGGGGGGGGCGGGGAGTACAGGGAAGGGCAGGGAAGGGCAGGGAGGGGTAGAGAAGGGCAGAAAAGGGCAGGGAAGGACAGAGAAGTACAGGGAAGAGCAGGAAGGGGCAGAGAGGGGCAGGGCAGGGAACGCTGTTGTTTAGCAAAATGATAGCGCTCATGCCTCATCATCGAGTCGCCAGCTCCAGATTGAGCCTTAAACCGCCCTCAGTGTGCACACACACGAAACACACACACACGCCGACACACACGTGCCACACACGTGACACGCGACACACACGTGACACATACACGCACGCCGCACCTGCAACAGGATTCGGTGTCCCAGCGGCGCCGTGAGCTCCCACCTCGCGTCCTCGTCGCGGGGGTACAGGTCAGGGCCAGTTGGGGCTGGCGAAGGCCCGGGGCGAGCTGGGGCCCAGGCGCACGGCGTAGGTGCGGGAACCGGGGACCTGGCATCGACGCAGCAGCACACGGGGACGGCGTTACATTTGATCGGTTGTTCAAGTTGTACGTACAATGGCACCACATCCACCAGGACCGACCGAATCGCCATCGTCACCGTCGTCATTATCACCATCGTCACCATCATCATTATTATCACCATCGTCATCACCATCATCACCAGTGTTGAATGTACTGTATGTTGAACCTCTTTCGCACCGTACGTAGCCAACCGTGCATATCGGAGGTGCGGGGGAAGGACAACAAATTAAACACAAAACGCAGTTCTACAGAAATGAGTTTTCAATGTAGATGATTTAAAAATGCATAGCTCCATTGGCTTCCTAATATTAGAAGGAAGAGTGTTCCAGACGGTCACAGAATCGTTCATTCATTCATCGAGGTTTTATGGTGAGGCTTCCTGCAGTAAAGATGATTATGATAATTACATGAAGGGCATCCTTGGGTAAATAAAGGAAACTTTGTATTATTTTTGGAGGGGCAGAATCAGAATATTTATATCATCTGGAGGAATTCGACGAGCGATGAAGCTCTTCATCCACAAGATGTCCAGCAGTGGCGGGTCAAAACGTTGCAGCAACAAACAAGACGAAAAACACGATGGCAGTACAAAGTACGATTTGGCGAACGACTGGGTGTTTAAGGTTAGCGATTTGTCGTATTATCTGGCTGTATAGCAAATGAAATAAGTAATATTAAAAAATCATTTTTTTAAAACACGCTTTAATGAAATGTACCCTACTCATAATCGCAGAACTCCACGACTTCAGGAAGTGGCCGCAAAGCTTGCCATGTAAGGGACCGTAGTGATTTACAGCCAACGTCAGTTGAGCGTGGACAATTAGACCCAAGCCAAAACATAACATATAAAAATTAATGTTTTCATGATAGAATATAGTATTGTCATCAGTATGACATAAGTATACCAAGTTTTCAGTGGATACCACATTGGGAAGTGGGTTAAAATTTAGTTACAAGATTTGAAGATATGACAACAACAACAACGACAACAGAGTGAGTTAAATAAAAGCGTGGAAAATACAATTATTTTACTATGCAAGTTAAAATTTGTGTTTTAAAAATTTGTATTTTAAAATTTGTGTTTTTTATTTATTTAGGGCACCCTTCATAACATTTGCTACACGCCCCGCACTAGCTTCATCCGCCACCGGTAGCAGTATGCTGCTTTTGCTACGAGGATAATCCAGCACGAGTGCCCACTCACCGTACGCCACGGGCGTCACGAAATCTGACGGACGCGGAGAAGCCCCCCTCCATCCCCACCGCCCCCCCGGCCCCGGCCACCACCGCCCACAGCGAGATGCGCACCGCCGAAGCCCCCGACACCACGAGCTCAGGAGCGCTGCTCCCGCAGTAGCGGCCAATCACGGGCGACGTCGTGCTGGGGCCGTCCTGCACCACCAGCTGTTGGCGGGGGGAGAGGAGGGGGGGGGGCAGTGGGAGCGGGGGGGTGGTAAGGCAGGGGGGAGGTACGGATGAGGGGTCAGGACTCCGGAACGCCGGGTTTTATCATCCGCTTGTTTGTTATCGGGTTTTGTCCAATTTGGTGACCTGGGTCACTGTTTCGAATGAGATTTTAACGCCCCTCCCCCCCCCAACCACCGTGTCTCTTGTAGTTCTCTGCTGGTTCAACAAAAACAACTTGAACCTTGAAAACACTGACAATGATGATAAGGATTATCCTGCTGTTGTTGTTGATCGTGATGTCGCTGTTGACGATGATGCTGCTGATGATGCTCGTGATGATACAATGAATGTGCCTACCTCATGCTGATGTCAACTGCTACGGCTGATGGTGATGCTACTGCTACATGCTGATGATGTTATTGCTGCTGCTGATGATGATGATACCCATGTTAGTGATGTCGCTTCCAATTTTTTCGGATAAAATAACTTCAGCAGCATTGATTCAGGCACAAGCGAAACTCTGGTGAGCAGTGCCATGGGGGGAGGACCAATTTGAATTGGCTTTTCAATTGGCCATTCCCCTCATGGCGTTTGTAGCCACCACAGCGGCCAAAGGGGGCTCTGGACAGGTGCGAGGGGACTGGTAACCCCTCCACCTTCAACCCAAGTATCACTAATCCACGTGAACACACACACAAACACACACTGGTAGAGTCGGGCTCGCTCGCTTGAATCAACGTTGGTTAAATACCAGATGTTACAGGGACACTTTAACAATGCAGCCCATGGGAGCCTTTAACATTGAAGTCTATGGGGATTTTTAAACATTAAACCTCATGGGAGACCTTAACACTGAACTTTATGGGGGGACTTTAAATATTGATCTCTTTGGGAGCCTTTAACAATTAACCCCATGAGAGCCTTTAAAAGGAACCCCATGGGAGCCTTCAACATAGATCCGTATGGGGGCATTTCACCATTGAACCCCTATGGGAGCCTTTAACATAGATCCTTATGGGAGCCTTTCACCATTGAACCCCTATGGGAGCCTTCAACATAGATCCTTATGGGAGCCTTTCACCATTGAACCCCTATGGGAGCCTTTAACATTGAACCTCATGGGAGCCTTTAACATTATGTACACGTGAGTGACTTTATGCAGGCATGAGTCTGCATATCTCCGCAAATTGACACGTGGGGGGGGGGGGGAGGGTGTGGAGCGGCGAGGGGTGATCCTGAAAAAATGGGCGGCGGGGTGGGGAAAGGATGAGGATGGGGCCGCTCACCTGTCGGCCAGATAATTACGCGGGAATGCGGGCGAGATCGCGTGTCGCGCGTGGTGGCGACTCGGCTCAGTCATCGGAGAAATTGCGGCAGGCAACCGATCCGCCTCATCCCCCCCCCCCCATCCTGCTCCCCCTTGAGATTTTTAATATCATTATAATAAATTATTATTTTTGTTGTTGCAGAAATATGAACGGACGAGCGTATTGATTTTCGCCGTCATTACGCTCAATTATAGAACGGGCGCGGGCGAGCGGAAAGTTCCCCGGCCTCCGTGTGGCAAGATCGTGGGCGCCGCTGTGGCGAGGAGATGTTAACTCCCTCGCCTGGTATACAGGAGGTCGTGGGCTCGATCCTGACTCTGACGCCTGCTGCTGTGTATTTGGAGTTTGCGTGTTCTCCCCGTGGTTGCGTGGATTTTTCTCCGGGTTGCTCTGCTTTTTCCCTCCACGTTTAGATTGCATTTATCGAGCCTTTAGCTGTTAAAGATTTACCCACGATAAGCCACTTTGTTGAGTGATCATTCGTGGCCAGGTCGCTTCTTAAAAAAAATCTCTATAGCTCAGTGGGCCTTACGTGGTAAAATACATTTTAAAAAATAGTTTAGTGTGCGCACAGACAGCTGAGACGACAACGCAGCGACGCCCGGTTCACATGGAGCCTCCCGTCCTCCTCCGAGATATTAACGCTATCGTCTTACATACACGGAACATTATTATTACGACTACTCTTGCTTATCAAGGAATGCCTCACCGAGTCTTATAACTCTTTTTCAGGAGGGTTCTGCCAGAGTGAGTTGAGGGGTGGTGGGTGGGAGGCACGCGCTGATTGCTTTGGAAAAATTCCAATCGGGCAATTTTTTACATTTGCCAACGGTTGTTCTACTCGCACGAACGATGCCACTGGAACCTCTAACGTCCTCCGTGCGAGTGAAGCAGACGGCTTGTGGCATTGCTGCGGCTAGTGCAGACCGCGGGGGGTTTCGAACCGCGAGCCCTCTGCAACGAGCGGCGAGCACGCCGACGCTGGGCCGTGTCAGTTGATCCAACGAATAATGAGTTAATGATGACGTCACCCTGCTGCTGCTGCTCTATATAAGAACGGGAGACAGAGCAGAGCCTCACCATTCTGGCGAATTGCCTGATGATGCTGGATGCAATTACCAGCGAAACGTCGTACTCAAATTGTAAATGTTGTGGTTTCACGCTTCAACACACCGGTGGGCTAAAGCAGTGAACTATTTGTTTTTTGTCAACGTGACACTTTTTTTTTTACTGATTGGCCGTGTCGGGTGGTGGAGAGTTACGACACATTTATAAATAACGCGATCTAAACCCAAAAACGTTGATTATTAATAATATTGGTCGCGAAAGCCTACGTGTTAAACTGAATAATGCCTCTTCGTTAAATTCATCAAAGTGTATCAATGCATCTGTCCACTCGGCAGGACGAATGGGCAAAACACCACAGTCGGTCAACTGGCAGGTCGTGTGTGCTGGGGTGAAACGTGGGTACTCACCCCTCTTCCAGGCCGTCTGTTCAGCATGGAAGAAGAGACCAAGTACACCCTAGAAGGGCTTCTTAGAGCGGTTGCTATTGGCCACGATGCTGCAGCTGACAATGGTGACAGTACGATTGCTGTTGGGTCATGCTGATGATGATGACGATGATGACAACGATGACGGCAAAGCCTCGCTCACGTGGTCGTGCGAGGAGTCGCAGGCTTGCGTCCCGTCCGTCGCGCCCGAGCCCGTGACCCCCGGCGACCTCAGCTCGAAGCGAAGGAAGCGGATCTCGACGGCGCGGTTGGCGGGCGCGCGGACGATCCACTCGCACACGGCGCCCGCCGGGTACGGCGCCGGGAAGCCCGGGCTCCCAAACACCTGCTCCGAGCTCAGCACCGACGAGCAGCCCACTGGCGGCGGGGAAGCGTCCGTCAGCACCGTCCGCAACAGCATGAGAAGCAGCAGTAGCAGAAGCAGCAGCATGAGAAGCAGCATCATCAGAAGCAGCAGAAGCAGCAGCAGCATGAGAAGCAGCATCATCAGAAGAAGCAGCAGAAGCAGCAGCAGCAGCATGAGAAGCAGCAGCAGCAGAAGGAGCAGCAGCAGAAGCAGCAGCATGAGAAGCAGCATAATCAGCAGCAGCAGGATCAATAGTGGAAGTAGCATCGTCACCGCCACCACTACCACCACCATCATCATAATTATAACTGCCAACGCCACAACCATGTTCAGCACAACCATCCCCACCACCACTGCCATCATCATAATCATCACCACCATTATCAAGGCAAAGATCCTCCGTATAGCCTTAACATACTCTTGGGGCAAGTGCTGTTAGCGAGCACCTGTGAAGGCTGGAACGACACACGAGGGGACAGCTGGCCAGCGCCACGCCCGGCCGCCTTTGTCTCCCCAGTGCTGATGTTTTACACACGGCACCGGGTACTCATTTGAGTTTGAGTCAACCAAGGGGAGGCCCAGGACCGGTTCAAATAATCATCACCGGTGTCGGGCCCGCGAGCGGGAATCGAACTCGACCCACCACGTACCCCGCCCCTCCCCTCCACATACCCTGCCTCTCCCCTCCACGTACCCTGCCCCTCCCCACCACGTACCCTGCCCCTCCCCACCACGTACCCTGCCCCTCCCCACCACGTACCCTGCCCCTCCCCACCACGTACCCTGCCCCTCCCCTCCACGTACCCTGCCCCTCCCCACCACGTACCCTGCCCCTCCCCACCACGTACCCTGCCCCTCCCCACCACGTACCCTGCCCCTCCCCACCACGTACCCTGCCCCTCCCCACCACGTACCCTGCCCCTCCCCACCACGTACCCTGCCCCTCCCCACCACGTACCCTGCCCCTCCCCACCACGTACCCTGCCCCTCCCCACCACGTACCCTGCCCCTCCCCACCACGTACCCTGCCCCTCCCCACCACGTACCCTGCCCCTCCCACCACGTACCCTCCCCACCACGTACCCTGCCCCTCCCCACCACGTACCCTGCCCCTCCCCTCCACGTACCCTGCCCCTCCCCACCACGTACCCTGCCCCTCCCCACCACGTACCCTGCCCCTCCCCACCACGTACCCTGCCCCTCCCCACCACGTACCCTGCCCCTCCCCACCACGTACCCTGCCCCTCCCCACCATGTACCCTGCCCCTCCCCACCATGTACCCTGCCCCTCCCCACCACGTACCCTGCCCCTCCCCACCACGTACCCTGCCCCTCCCCTCCACGTACCCCGCCCCTCCCCTCCACGTACCCTGCCCCTCCCCTCCACGTACCCTGCCCCTCCCCACCACGTACCCTGCCCCTCCCCACCACGTACCCTGCCCCTCCCCACCACGTACCCTGCCCCTCCCCACCACGTACCCTGCCCCTCCCCACCACGTACCCTGCCCCTCCCCACCACGTACCCTGCCCCTCCCCACCACGTACCCTGCCCCTCCCCACCACGTACCCTGCCCCTCCCCACCACGTACCCTGCCCCTCCCCACCACGTACCCTGCCCCTCCCCACCACGTACCCTGCCCCTCCCCACCACGTACCCTGCCCCTCCCCACCACGTACCCTGCCCCTCCCCTCCACGTACCCTGCCCCTCCCCACCACGTACCCTGCCCCTCCCCACCACGTACCCTGCCCCTCCCCACCACGTACCCTGCCCCTCCCCACCACGTACCCTGCCCCTCCCCACCACGTACCCTGCCCCTCCCCACCATGTACCCTGCCCCTCCCCACCACGTACCCTGCCCCTCCCCACCACGTACCCTGCCCCTCCCCACCACGTACCCTGCCCCTCCCCTCCACGTACCCCGCCCCTCCCCTCCACGTACCCTGCCCCTCCCCTCCACGTACCCTGCGCCTCCGTCACGAACCAGAACCGCACGCGCGCCCCGTGCCCCTGGATGCTGGAGTCGGACTTGAACTGCGCCGTCATGCGCGACCCCGCGCTCTCCAGGGGCTCCAGCACCTCGGGGTTCCCGCACAGGCGGCGCAGGGGGGGGCCCGCGGGGGGGGCAGCGGATGCCGCCGGGGGGGGGGCACCGGCGGCGGGGGTGGGGCCGCCCCCCGCCGCGTCGCCGTCGAACACGGCCACGTAGTCGAAGGTGCACTCCTGGAAGAGGGCCGCCTCCATGTCGAAGAAGGTGAACTCCAGGTGGACCTGGAGAAAAGGAACATTCCGGGTGGGTGCGGGGTTGGGGGGTTGTTGAGGTCATTCGGCCACGCCGGCCGAATGACGGTCACGCACGGCTGGGTGTGACGGCCGTGTGTGTGTGTGTGATCACGTGGTTTAGTGGCACAGTACTTGGGTTGAAGGTGGATGGGTTGCCGGCCCCTCGCGCCTGTCCAGAGCCCCCTTTGGCTACTGTGGTGGCTACAAACGCAATGAGGGCAATGGCTGATTGAAATTAGCCCTCCCCCCATGGCACTGCTCACCACAGCGTTGCCGTCCGGCACCAACGAGGAGGGAGCGGGTTGTTTGGCCTTAACATGCACATAGCCTGGCACAAGCGCCATGGTGACGTCACCGCCACTTAGTGGCGAAGTCACCGCCACTTAGTAGCGAACGGGGGTTGTTATTGTTGTTGTGTTTGTTCACATGGATGCGTGTGTGTGAGTCCACCCAGGTGTGTGTGAGTCCCCGTGCTCGTACCCTGAATCCGGGCGGTGCATGCAGGGTCCAGGTGCACTGGTGGTTGGCGGGGTGCGTTGCCGGGTACCACGGCGTTGCAAACACCCCCGGCTCACGTAGCGTCGCGTTGCACGGCCAGTCTGCGTGCGGCAGTGACGACGTGGTGGTTACGGTGGTTCTCTGACGATGACGATTGTGGTGGTAGCGGTTGATGAGGATGATAATGTTGGTAGTCGTGGTAATGATGGTGGTGGTGGTGGCAGTAAATGATGTTGATAGTGTTTGGTGGTGGTAATAATGATAGCGGTGGTGATGGTGGTGGTACCAGCGATGATAATAGCAGTGTTGGTGGTGGTGGTGGCAATGATAATGGTGGTAGTGGTAATAATGATGGCGGCGGTGGTGGTGGTGGTGGTGGTACCAGCGATGATAATGATAGTGTTGGTGGTGGTGGTGGCAATGATGATGGTGGTAGTGGTAATAATGATGGCGGCGGTGGTGGTGGTGGTGGTACCAGCGATGATAATGACAGTGTTGGTGGTGGTGGTGGTGGCAATGATTATTGTGGTAGTGGTGAAAGCGGTGAAGGACATAATGATGACAGTGTTGGTGGTGGTGGCAATGACAACGACGAAGATGACAGTAGCGGTGGTGGCAGTGCTATGTTTCCTGTTGCTGCTGATGATGCTGCTGCTGCTGATGAAGCGGACCCTGACCACCTGCACTAAAGCCCCACATGCACCCTCTCTCACTCCACCCCCCAACCAACTCAGGATCTCCATGCCCCCCCGACCCCCCCCCCCCCCACCCGGGACCCGAGCTCGTACCCGACGAGTAGAAGGCTCGGAAGCCGGCCGCGCTGCCCGTGCCGTCCGTGGCGAAGCGCAGCGCCACCTCGCTCGACGGCGAGGTGAGGAGGCTCCCGCCGGGGCGGCTCCCGCACCACGTGGCCAGGAGGGGGCCGCCGCCGGCCGGGTCGGCCCCCCCCCGCACCGACACCCAGGCCCCCCCAGCCCCAGGCCCACACGTTGCACCTAGGGGGTCCGAGGGGGGAGGGGGGCAAGTGGTGTTAGCGAGCGCCCGTGAACGTTGCGAGGACGCAACGGCTCGGGTCAAGCGCTACGGGCACGCCGCTGCTGTCGGCTGGCTTGCCGGAGGGATTGTCGGCGTAAGGCACTACCACTAGAGTGCAAGGAAATTTTTTTTGGGGTTAGATTGCGTAAATATATAAGTGTGTCTCGTTAGAACCCGCCACCACTCGACTCAGCCAATTAGTAAGGCTTGTCACGTAAACATTACGGATGATATTGGTCGCGAAAGCGTACATGTTAAACCCGAGGTATGGAGAGTCCACAATCATCCTATGGTATTGTACCCTCTACACACACACACCCACACACCACACATCCAGACACACTGCCCCATACACACACTGCCCCGCACACACACACACTGCCCCACACATACACATACACACCGTCACACACCACACACCGCTTCACACACACTGCCCCACACACACACACATACACACCGTCACACACACACTGCCCCACACACACACATACACACCGTCACACACACACACACCGCTTCACACACACACACACACATGCACACCGTCACACACACACTGCCCCACACACACACATACACACCGTCACACACACACACACACACCGCTTCACACACACACACATACACACCGTCACACACACACACACACTGCGTCACACACACACACATACACACCGTCACACACACACTGCCCCACATACACACACACACACTGCCCCACACACACACCGCCCCACACACACACACATACACACCGTCACACACACACACACACTGCCCCACACACACACCGCCCCACACACACACACTGACCGGCACCGCCGCGCGTGTGCAGCTGGAAGTGAGTGAAGTTGAGGGAGACCGTCTTCCCCTCCGGGACGGTGACCTTGAAGTCGCAGGTTCGACTCCCGCTGTAGTTGCGTGGCCACAGAACCGAAGCCAGGGTTCCCATGGTGCCTTCGAAGCTGCCCCCGCAGTCTGCGGGATGCGTCGTGTGTGTCGGGAGCGTGCGTGCGGATATGGGGAGCGGCGGTGCAGCGGTTAGCGCGCTGCGCGACCCGAGTTCGATTCCCGCTCACGGCCAACACCGGTGACGATTATCTGCACCGGTCCTGGGCCTCCCCTAGGTCGACCCCCCACCCCCAGAAATGAAAATATTTATTTATTTTATTCGTACCGGAACAATCCGATGAACTTTCAAGCTCTTTTTTGCAGATCGTCCAGTAAAATTGACCGGGCACCGCCGCTGAGGACATCAATCTCCCCCCGCCGCCCCCCCCCTCTCGTACCCCACCCGCCCCCCCCCCTCTCGTCCCCCCCTCCCGACCCCCCACCCTCTTGTCCCCCTCTTCCGCCCCCCTCCCGCCCCCCCTCTCGTCCCCCCACTCCCGCCCCCCAAACCTCTTGTCCCCCTCTTCCGCCCCCCTCCCGCCCCCCCCTCTCGTCCCCCCACTCCCGCCCCCCACCCGCCCCCCCTCTCGTCCCCCCCACTCCCGCCCCCCACCCGCCCCCCCTCTCGTCCCCCCACTCCCGCCCCCCACCCGCCCCCCCCCTCTCGTCCCCCCACTCCCGCCCCCCACCCGCCCCCCCTCTCGTCCCCCCCACTCCCGCCACCCACCGGCCGCCCCTCCCACCCCCCCTCTCGTCCCCCTCCCTCCCGCCCCTCCCCTCTCGCCCCCCCCCTCCCCCACGGGTACCCACCCGCCGTCTGCCGCATCTCGAAGTGGTTGATGGGGGTGCTCATGTTGGTGACGAGGCCCCCCACGTCGCTCTCCATCAGGCTGCTGAGGTGGCACTCGAGGGTCGCCAGCGAGTAGTCAAACGACCTGCGCACCACGCCCCCCACCCCCCACCCCTCCGATTAGTTCGCTCACTCCCGTAAACAACAACAACCACAGCAACAACAACAACGCATCGCTCGCGACCCCTTCTCGTCGGCACTGTTCTATCCAGGAGCTCGACGAAGAATGTCTGCTGCTGGCCACAACGAGAGCTGCTGCTGCTGCTGATGCTGCTGTTGCTGCTGCTGCTGATGTTGCTGCTGCTGATGCTGCTGCTGACCCTACTGATAATCGTGACGCTTCTACTGCTACGGCTGCTGAGTCTGTTTGATCGTGACGCTGTGGCTGACGTCGCTGCTGCCGCTGATTATGATTTTGCTGATGATAATGTTGCTGATGATGTTGATGCTGATGATGATGATAATGTTGCAAATTATGATGATGGTGCTGATGCTGCTGCTGATGATATTGCTGATGATGGTGATGTTGCTGATGACGATAATGTTGCTGATGATGCTGCTGCTGATGATAATGATGTTGCTGATGATAATGCTGCTGCTGCTGATGATGATTATTACGACGTTGTTGCTGCTGCTGACGATGATCACGATGTTGCTCATGTTGCTGATGATGATAATGGTGGTGGTACCGGCAGATGAAGGCTGTCTCACGCAGGCACAGCATGGCGCAGCGCGAGGGCCCGATCTGGCGCACGGTGCGGACCCAGCCGTGGCCCAGGAAGGCTCCCGCCGTGCCGAGGAAGGAACGCTCCAGCGAGGCTGCAGGGAAACGCAGCAAAATCCACACTCAGACCCCACTTCCGATTGATGACGGTGGTCCGAGCGGTGATGACGCTGTTTGCCGACGGTGGTCACGATCGCAGCGATGGAGTTGGCGGTGGCGGTGGCGACGCCGAAAGTCAATCAGTGACCACCAAGTAACCTAGCATTACCTACTCGGTGCTTACCCAGTTACCACTCTCAGTGTTCAGCCCAGTGCCCCCCCCCCCCCCCGCGTACTCAGGCGCTCGAAGTGCATCACGTTGGTGCCCAGGTCGGTGCGGATGCCGCCGACGAGCGCCGCGAAGGAGTTGCTGAGCTGACAGAGCCTGGCCCCCACCACGAAGTCGAACGAGTTGCAGCGGAACCTCGCCTCGTCCAGGCAGCGCAGGGCGCACTCCGCCGTGCTCACGTTGGCGAAGACCGCGTGGTTGCGCCCGGGGATGGCGCCGAACCCGTAGGGCAGGAACTGCGAGAGGGGGCCCTCTGCGCGCGCCAAACGAGGAGGAAAGGATCGGGGGTCGGGAAGGAGGAGAAAATTATTGATCAGCAGATCTCTCCCCCCCCAGTGACTCGGGTGCTGCTACGGGGTCTCTCAGCATATCTCTCCCTCAGTGCTGCCACTTTCTGCCCCCGCCCTCTTCTCTCTCCCCCCCCCCCCCCTTCTCTCTCCCAGAGGTCGCAAACGGGTTTTGATTCCTTACCCGTACCCGGCCGGACCAGGGTCGCAAATGGGTACCCGTACCCGTACCCGGCCGGGTACGGGTAGCCGGGTATCGGGTAGGGTACGGGTATCGGGTACCCGGTTGCGACCTCTGCTCTCTCCCCCCCTACCGCCGAGGCCTCTATAACCTCGTGCCACGTGCAGCTCCCTCGGCTACTTCAGCAATTTTTTTCTTGCTGTGGTTGTCCCACCTGATGACGATCGCTTGTGTTGCGATCGAAACGTCGTGATCTATTATTATTCTTCTTCTACCCACGTGACTTTACCGAAAGAACCAAAGAGTGGGGATTCCTGCAGTCACGAAAGCTTAAAATCCAGAAGGGGGAGGGCTGCGTTGTTGATTGCTGTGAGTGAGGTTTCATTCCTTCATCGCTCGATGGTTTCCAGAACGCTGCTGGGCCCAGAGAGAGGTTGGATCGTGGCTGCAGTCTGTGGCATGCGAAAAAAAATAAAGTATTGCTGCTGCCTGAACTGGTTCTGGGCCTCAATTAGGTTCACTCAACCCCAAATGAGTGCCCGGTGTGGTTTTTAATAACGTCACCACTGGGGCGACAAAGGCGGTCGGGCGTGATGCTTGCCACCCACCCCTTTGTGTGCCGTTCCGGCCATCATAGATGTTACTCGCGAACAGCACTTGCCGTAGCAGTCTGTTGAGACTATCTGAACCGGTCCTGGGCCTCCCCTAGGTAGATTCAGTCTCTAATGAGTACCTGGTGCAGTGTGTATACATCACCACTGGGGAGACAAAGGCGGTCGGGCGTGGTGCTGGCCACCCACCCCCTCGTGTGCCGTTCCGGCCTTCGTAAGTGCTCGCTAACAGCACAGGCTATACGGAAGATCTTTGTCTCTGTGTAGAGGCTTAGGACGGAGGGCAGATGAGCGACGCTCACAACAACGAGCAAGAGCGGGGGGCGGCTAAAACACAGCCAGACGGCACCAGGTTGTGCATCTGCCAGTCATCTCAGTTCACCCATAACACCTGGGTCTGCCCATGTCCCCCTGCCAGCAGCAAGTCTTCTACACTTGACATTGTCTCAAGGTGCACCTAGCCTGTCACAAGCGGTGTGGGGGACGCTTTAAGGGCACTTGCCCCAACGGTCTGGTAGAGAGGCTACGCGACGGGGTGGCGCCTTTGTCTTCGTGTTGTGTTACCATGAAATTTTAATCGGCACTCACTAGGCTACTCCACTCATTGCCTAGGAGATCTTTGTGTCTGTGTCTGTGCGGGGAGGGGCAGTGTGGTGCTATCAACCCGGTGACCCCAGTTCGCTCTCGCGGCACAATCTCGGTGACGAATATTTGAATCGGCCCTGGACTTTTCCTGGGTTAACTCAGCCGCAAATGAGCACCCGTGCCTCTGCCTGTCTGTCTCCACACATTTCACCGTCTCTCTGCCCAGTCTGTATCTCCGCGTGCCTATCCATCTCCGCGTGTCTCTCTCTCTCCGCGTGCCGCGTCTTCTCAGCACCCACCCTCCACGCGCGAGTAGTGGTCCGTGCCCTCCGCCACCTCGAGGCCGTGCTCTCCGCTCAGCCCTTCCCCGTGCAGGGCGCATGCCCCCCCTGCTGCCCCCGCTGCTGCCCCCCCTGCTGCCCCCCCTCCGCCGCTCCAGTCGAACGAGGCGCAGTGGAAGCCGCGCTCCGACAGACACAAGAGGGCGCACTCCCCCGTCGAGACTCCTCGCACGTGCGCCCTCGGGGCGCCGGCAGTGGCCCGCAGGGCATGGTCCGGCACGCGCTGGAATTGTCGTCGGAACGGATCTGCGGGAGCACGGGGTGGGAAGCCGTGCAGGGAGGGGGGGGTTGAGGGGATTAGGAGATGGTGGATAGAGGGAGGGAGGGGTGATGTGTTTTGTAATCGCGTGGTTGACGTGACACATGTGTACGTGTGGAGGTATGTGTGTTGAACTTGTGCACGTGTGTGTACACGTGTGTGTGTGTACACGTGTGTGTGTGTAAGCGTGTGTGTGTGTATACACGTGTGTGTATATACACATGTGTGTGTGTACACGTGTGTGTGTACACGTGTGTGTGTACGCGTGTGTGTGTACACGTGTGTGTGGTACACGTGTGTGTGTGTACACGTGTGTGTGTGTGTACGCGTGTGTGTGTGTACACGTGTGTGTGTGTACGGGTACACGTGCAGACCCTGCCAGTCCATCACGGGTACGTCACGTGGTGTACTACCGACGGTCCTCGAACGCCGTGGGTACATCACGTGGTACAAACCACAGGGTACATCACGTGGCACATTGCGTAGAACGTCACAGATCCAGTCATGTGGTGTAGGTCCTCGGTCCGAGAACATCACAGGGACCTCACGTGGCACATTACATTGAACATCGCAGCTGCATCACAGGCTCATGCGATACACATCACCTGGAACAGCACACGCCGTTCACCTGGCACGCGGCTCTGAACGCGTGATCTCGAATTCACGCGACCGCAGTGAGTAATCCCGCAGCACAGAACAATCAGCAGAGTAATCCTGGGGTAATCCCCAGAATAATCGAGGGTTTAAAGCCGGAGTAACCCACGGATAATCCCACGGTAACCCATGGGTTATCCCACACAAGCTCAGGGGTAATCTCAGAGTGATCCGTGGTGATCCCGTTGTACCCCTGATGATGACGATGCAGCAGAGGGAACTAATCATAAATAAATATCATAATTGCATCTTGTAACACAGGATTCTTCAATACTTTCAAAGGGGCGGGGGGGGGGCACTTTCGCCGATAAGACACCATCAGTGTGAGGGCCGCCACACGTTTGAAAACTTTGGGGGTTTAAATTTTGACTTAAAACTTTAATGACTGCAGGAATTCGTATTCTTGCTTCTTTCGGTAAAGTCACGTAGATTCAAAAAAATTACAAATTTAAAAAATTATAATAAAAATTTTACTGCAAATAATAAACGCAAAAAAACAATAAAAATAAAGAATAAACATTTTATTATATTTTACTATTTATATTTTTATTTTTATTGTAGTTTTTTGCTTTTATTATTTTCAATTTTTTTTTATCTACGTGACTTAACCGAAAGAACCAAGAATACTTTGGAGGTTTGACAGCAGCACGATGGTAATGGGGGTGTTTTGACATGTTGCGTAACACGACAAGAGTATTCGCTCGCTCTCGTATCGGAGAGAGAGAGAGAGGAACGACTGATGGCACAGACAAGCAGGAACGGCAACTGCCAGCCCGTACCAACAGTTGCCCAAGTTCTGCGGTCCTCATTTCAGGGTGTTATCGGCCAATGAACGAGTTTGTACGTGTGGGGAAGAGGACACTGAAGCACTAGGAGAAGACCCAAGCGTGCGTGCGTGCGTGAGGGGGAAACGCTCTATCCCATACAGACATAACGGTGTGGAGTCACACATTGTTGTTGCTGTACTGAATCAAAATCAAAATATGTATTCGTTACTGGAGGAATCCGATGAGCTATGAAGCTCTTTTTCACAGATGTCCAGCCGGGGCGGGTAAGAACGTTACAACAATAAGCTATTTTTTTAACGATAGGAATGCAAAGTACAATTAAGGTAAACAAATCACCCAAACACGTGCAAATACAACATTAAACCATCCCCACTGCGAGCTGAGGTCCGGCTGTCGTCTTCCTCGACGTACACGAGAAGGGAGTCACCGACAACATTATACTGGTAGGAACCTCCTGGTTACACCAGCCCACAGGGGATTATTGTGTCCGTCCGTCCGTTGTGCAGGGAGGGGCTGGGTGGGGAGGGAGGGGCTGGGTGGGGAGGGTGGGGACGGGCTGGGTGGGCTGGGTGGGAGGGGAGGGGCTGGGTGGAGAGGGGCTGGTCACCCCGTGGTGCCCTTATAAAACTCAACGTTTAACCTACTCACGCCGGCTTGTGCCCGCCCTCACAGTCGGGCATATTTGCGGAATACACCACGCCGCCGTTGACCCTGGCCATTGACCGAGCAACCCAACGTTCCTACCAGCTCCCTCCGCAGGAGGAATGTGTTTTGTCTATGTGCTGCTCTAACGTTACCTCCACGTCTTTGTGCGAGACGCTTACAAACAAACCATCCCCCTGAACAAATCCACCACGAAAATTTTTTTTTTTTCGGCGAACCGAGCAACTTGTGGCGTTCAAGCCCGGCGTTTAATCCCGCGGTATTAAATAAAATAATAATGAATAAACATTCCGGGTTTATTAGCGGGACGTCTTAATGCGTTAAGCACTTCCCTCGTGACGTGGAGATGGCGAGAGAGAGAGAGCGAGAGCGCCGATTACATTAAACCGTGACAATGGTGTCGCAATCATCCGGCGCGTGCAGCGAGTTTGGCTGTCCCATACCTCTCAACCCCTTAGCAGTGCCTCCTACCTTATTACAGACCAATTCAGACCTTATTGGTCACCCCGTGCCCCCTTGTAAAATCTCAACGTTCATCCTACAAAGTCCCATCACAAGGTAGAAACACAAACTAATGGGCACATTTTCTTTAATGTGCCCGTATTGAAACGGCTCTACGCCGTACGGACCTCAAAACTCAATTTCCCTGTAGAAGAACACGCGGTAAACCGTGTGGGTTGACAGCAAAGCTGTCGGGGGGGGTACGTTTCAAAGTTCAAAGTTCATTTATTAGGTGTAGCCCTGTGAGCCATTCGGCTCTTGAATCGGGTGCAACCGCAACAAACAAAAAACAAAAACATGAACAAGAAAACATCTTATAGTGACTATGTGCAAACAGAAAATCCAAGAAAAGACAGCAAAATATTGCAGAAAAAATCACCGTACACCAACCCTGTGCAAATATCCCAGTGGTAGGGGTCGGGGTAGGTGGTAGGGCTGTTGGACCCCCCCCCCCCCCTTCCTCCAATACTCACCCTGTTGAGCCTTGACTCGAGGCCCCGTCCAAGTCGCGAAGACGAGGAGCAGGAGGAGAAGGAAGGGGAGACGCGGAGCACCCCCCAGGGTTGAGAGGGGAGCCATGTCTCACGTGGCCTGCGCTTCCTCACACGTACGTATGCAAGTTGAACCTCGCTCGCGCCGTTTACGTAGCCAACGGCATCGTGACAACATTCTTTACGCAACCCGGAGAGATTCGTCATCGTCGTCGTCATCATCATCGGCACCATCTCTCGGTCCGTAACAAGCAAAGGCGCGGCCCTGGAACTGCTCGCTCACGTCACTGCTGGCGGAAAGACTTCCGCTCGAGACTAGGCTCGAAAGAAAGCTGTCTCTGGTGTGGACCAATCAGTTTCAAGGACAATGCATATACGGTCAGAGTATGTTTTTTTGTTTGCGTTCTGACCACTGGTATATGTGATTAATGCAGACATGATTCCTTGTAAAAGGTTTCAGTTTGGTATTGATTTTAAGCTTTCGTGACTGCAGGAATCCATACTCTTTGGTTCTTTCGGTAAAGTCACGTAGGTATGATGACGGACGCTTGTGTTGCGCCCGAAACGTCGTGATTTATTTTATTTTATACCTACGTGACTTTACCGAAAGAACCAAAGAGTATGTTTCAGTTTGGTGTTTTAACATCTTAACACCTGTTTTGTTGCCAGAAAAAAGGTGAAAACCTCTTCTCCACGAGAGGGAATGTTTAACCTCCACTCCCACCCTCGCCAGACCCATTGCAAGAGTGTACGAGCACCCACACTTTACCCCACCGCACGCTACCTGCCGACCGACTTAACCGTGGCATACACGTTTATATTGCCGGTTGGAAGGGAAATTTGAGAAACTCGTCCGTTTTTACCCGCCGTGCCTAGAGATCGAACCGGTGACCTCTGGAGCATCAAGTCCAGTGCCATTACCATGGACAACCACGGCAGGATCGGCGTTTCTCTCTTCTTCAACAACTACAATAATAGTGGCACAGTCACGCTCGTTGTCTTACCAGGAAAGCCTCACTGATTCTCAAGGATGAGTTTTTTACAGCAGCAGCAGCAGCAGGGTCCCTACCCCACTGCGATGTTTGGTCAACCTCCCCCCCCCCCCCCACCAGTACCGGATGAAACTAGTGCGGGTCCTGTAGCATATGTTAAAGGGGCTCTAAATATTAAAACGCAGAAATATTAAAACACATTTTTAACTTGTACAGTAAAGTAATTATATTTTTCATTTGCTATAAAGCCAGATATTACGACAAATCGCTAACCTTAAACACCCAGTCGTTCGTAAAAGTTGAAGACGGTATAGTACTATAGTAATAGAGCAAGTGCAGAATCACTGAACCGGAATTGATAGCTTGAAAAATTTAGCACGGGGCCCTTGAAAGTGCGAGACCCGTAGCTACATATGTAGCTACTTTTGCTACGATGATAATCCGGCACTAGCCCCCCACGAATGAGATTTTTGGCTTCGTGTGGTTCAGAGAAAACTCGAGAGTGGCTGGAGTCAAACCACCGCACAGATGGATTGTAAAATCCCTTGCCGCACTGCCACCTCCTGGCACCACCTCGCAGCCCCGACATCCCCGAACCTGCTCTCATTCATTCCCAGGCAGTCTCCCGTGCGAGGTGCTGACCAAAGCTCAAACGTCTGCGGAGCTTCCAAGATGTGCCGAGACCGCGAGCCCCCAACGTAGTTTAAACGCTGACGTCTACGTCCGAAATCCGTGAAACTGGACGTATTTGAGAATCATCATCAGCAGCAGCAGCAAAGTCCAGCTACCACCGTACACCAAACACTGCACACAGTGTTTGGTGTACGGTGCTTTTTCTGCAATATTTTGCTGTCTTTTCTTGGATTTTCTGTTTGCACATAGTCACTTGAAGATGTTTTCTTGTTCATGTTTTTGTTTTTTTGTTTGTTGCTGTTGCACCCGATTCAAGCGCCGAATGGCTCACAGGGCTACACCTAATAAATGAAACTTGAAAAAACTTGAAAAAACCCAACACCTCCATGACTACCGTGGGGTCCGTTTTAAATTTAAACTAAACTATTTTTTAGTCGCCGTATATATTTAACTAAACAATTAAACTATTGTTTATCTTATCAGGTAAGGTCCCACCGAGCTGTATAGCTCTATCTCAGAAGCGACCTGGCCACAAATGATAGCTCAACCAAGTGGCTTATCGCCACGTGGAAATTTGTAGCAGTCATCAAATTCTCTAAACGCGTGCTGATTCTAAATTCACCGTGGAAGTCATGAGCGGTCCTCATGGAAATTACAAATTCTCAAAAAGACGGACGATCATTGTTGTCGACATCCCACAAAGTAGTTAATACTTTATCGACCTAGACTGCGAGAGTGTGATGGGCGGTGGCAATTATTGTTGAAATTTTATCCGTACAAAGGTTGCGCAGGGGCGGTGATGGCGGTGCCTCGATCTATTTCACTGCACAGCGATGTGAACCCCGCCGGGGCAACCCGAGTTCCATTCCCGGTCACGGCTAACGCCAGTGGCGAGTGCAATCTACAAAAAAAAGTGCTCCTGATCGAGAGCCGAATCTAAGCTTATGATATAACCAGAGAAAAATTGCAAAGCGGTGTTTTTGTTGTTGTTAAAACTCGAGGAGGTTGATTTGTTTGGCTTACATACGTCAGGGCCAATTGCGTTTCCTACGAGGAAAGGATAATTGCCTGAAACGTCGCCAATTATATATTTGTTCGGCATTTCCAGGCCACGGTGTTATTGACGAAGGCGTTGACATTTTTTTGGGCGTTATTTGTTCTTGTGCGCAACCACTGCCAACGCAGCAGCGACCTCAACAAATTAATTATTTGTTGCAACAAAAACTATTCTATACCCACCAGTGAACCGTCTCTCTGGCTCCAGTGGAGCAAGTAAAGAGCTGACCAACCCCACTACCGGCTACTGGTACAAATACAAAGGCCCCCCATGTAGCCTTGGCAGTCTTTTTGGGTCAAGTGTCATGTGAGCACCGGTTCAGGCCGTGCAAAGCCCACCGCGCGAGTGGGTTGGTGTGGCCTTGCCAAGCAGCGGGTACTAATTTAAGGCCCAGTCGATCTAGGTGAGGTCCGGAAACCGATTCAGATATAATTCACCGGTGATATTAGCCGCTGCCGGCAACTGAAATTAGGTCGTCGGTTTCGTATATCCGATTGCGCTAATCACTGCGCCACTGCTCTCCTACCCTCTCACGCACACACTCATGTACACATACAGAGAGAGGCACACACACACACATGTACACATACAGAGAGAGGCACACATACACACATGTACACATACAGAGAGAGGCACACACACGCACATGTACACATACAGAGAGAGAGAGAGGCACACACACACATGTACACATACAGAGAGAGAGGCACACACACATGTACACATACAGAGAGAGAGACACACACACACATGTACACATACAGAGAGAGAGAGGCACACACACACATGTACACATACAGAGAGAGAGGCACACACACACATGTACACATACAGAGAGAGAGGCACACACACACATGTACACATACAGAGAGAGAGGCACACACACGCACATGTACACATACAGAGAGAGAGAGAGGCACACACACACATGTACACATACAGAGAGAGAGGCACACACACATGTACACATACAGAGAGAGAGACACACACACACATGTACACATACAGAGAGAGAGGCACACACACACATGTACACATACAGAGAGAGAGGCACACACACACACATGTACACATACAGAGAGAGAGGCACACACACATGTACACATACAGAGAGAGAGGCACACACACACATGTACACATACAGAGAGAGAGAGGCACACACACGCACACATGTACACATACAGAGAGAGAGGCACACACACACATGTACACATACAGAGAGACAGGCACATACACACACATGTACACATACAGAGAGAGAGAGGCACACACACATAGGTAGTTCACCTGCGGCTTACCTGTGCGAGTTCCAGAGCCGTTCCCCGCGGGGCAGGTAAGCGTCAAGCAGAGTTCTCTCTCCCTCTCTCTCCCCTCCTCTGTCTCTTGATCTCCCTTAACCTCTTATCTCCCCTCTCTCCCTCTCAGCTCCCACCCCCCTCAGCGTTTGCCTGCCCGCGCTACTCCCGCGGGGTTTAATAGGGGTTCGAGGGGGCGGGCTACTATGGCGATGATGAGTGATGGTGGGTGATGATGCCGACGGCGGGGGTGGTAAGTGTGCCTAGCGGCTTACCGGCGTCTGAGAAGCTCACTCACGGCGGAGGGATGGAGGGAGGGGATGTGGGAGGAGGAGTTGGGGGGGGGGTAAGGAGGGAGGGAGGGGATGTGGGAGGAGGAGTTGGGGGGGGGGTAAGGAGGGATGGAGGGAGGGGATGTGGGAGGAAGAGTTGGGGGGGGGGGTAAGGAGGGAGGGAGGGAGGCAGGGGAAGGAGGGAGCGAGAGAATGGAGAGAGATGGGAGGACGTGGTGGAGGGAAATGGAGCGAGGGAGAATGGAGAGAGAGAGGGGGAGGAGGGATGGAGGGATGAAGAGAGGTAGGGGAGAGAGGGTGGGGTTGTTGGGGGAGGGAGAGATGGGGGGAGAGGCGTAGTGAGGGAGAGAGTCCTCGCAGTGAGGGATGAAGAGAGAGAGGGGGGGGTGCAGGGAGACGGCACGACACGAATGAATGGGCAGGAGCAGGAGGAGGAGGAGGTGGTGGGGGCTGAGTGGGTGCCGATAGAAACGAGGGGCATTGGGGTTTTAATGGGGAGCCATGATGCGTGCAGGCTCAACACTTGCAACTCCTTATCATCACAGGTGTGTGTGTGCGTGTGTGTGTCACAGTGTGCGTGAGTGTGCACGTATGCATGTAAGAGTGTGCGCGTGTGTGTGTCACAGTGTGCGTGAGTGTGCACGTATGCATGTAAGAGTGTGTGGGTGTGTGTGAGAGTGTGCGTGAGTGTGCACGTATGCATGTAAGAGTGTGCGCGTGTGTGTGTCACAGTGTGCGTGAGTGTGCACGTATGCATGTAAGAGTGTGCGCGTGTGTGTGTCACAGTGTGCGTGAGTGTGCACGTATGCATGTAAGAGTGTGTGGGTGTGTGGCGGTGTGCGTGAGTGTGCACGTATGCATGTAAGAGTGTGTGGGTGTGTGGCGGTGTGCGTGAGTGTGTGCGTGAGTGTGTGTAATGTGTGTGTGTGTGTAATGTGTGCGTGTGTGTGACAGTGTGCGTGAGTGTGCGCGTATGCATGTAAGAGTGTGTGGGTGTGTGGCGGTGTGCGTGAGTGTGCACGTATGCATGTAAGAGTGTGCGTGTGTGTGACAGTGTGCGTGAGTGTGCACGTATGCATGTAAGAGTGTGTGGGTGTGTGTGACAGTGTGCGTGAGTGTGCACGTATGCATGTAAGAGTGTGTGGGTGTGTGGCGGTGTGCGTGAGTGTGCACGTATGCATGTAAGAGTGTGTGGTGTGTGTGAGAGTGTGCGTGAGTGTGCACGTATGCATGTAAGAGTGTGTGGGTGTGTGGCGGGTGCGTGAGTGTGCACGTATGCATGTAAGAGTGTGTGGTGTGTGTGAGAGTGTGCGTGAGTGTGCACGTATGCATGTAAGAGTGTGTGGGTGTGTGACGGTGTGCGTGAGTGTATGCGTGTGTGTGTAATGTGTGTGTGTGACAGTGTGCGTGAGTGTGCACGTATGCATGTAAGAGTGTGTGGGTGTGTGACGGTGTGCGTGAGTGTGTGTGTAATGTGTGTGAGTGTGTGTGTAATGTGTGTGTGTGTAATGTGAATGTGTGTGTGTGTAATGTGAATGTGTGTGTGTGTAATGTGAGTGCGTGTGTGTAATGTGAGAGTGTGTGGGGAGCGGTAGTCCAGCGGTTACGGTGCTGCGACCACCCACCCGCTCGCCTGTGCGTCTGCCGGCATTTGCAGGTGCTGCTCGCTAACAGCACTCGCCCCAACAGTCCGTTGAGGCTACACAGGTGATCTTTTGCCTGTGCGATTGGTGTTTGCGTTGTGCGCGAGCGAGCGAGTGAGTGTACGGTGTGAAAATGTGAGTGTGGCTGGGCTCAGTCTTTTCCTGTTGCCTCTGGATGGAACACCAAGAGCTGGGTGGGTGGGTGGGGTGGAGACGTGTCAATCCCCTGGCCCGGCCGAGTGAGCTTTGGCCAGGAGAACTCGTGGACGCTCTGTCCCCCTTCAGCGGGGTCCGACAAAGTGCTTCACATTGTCTCTCTCTCTCTCTCTAACCTTGTGCTCATTTGATCACGATAAAGTCACGTAGAAGGGAAGTAATAAAATAATAAAAATAAAACATAATAAAATAATAATTCTCACGACGTTTCGGCCACAACACAAGCAGCCGAAACGTCGTGAGAATTATTTTATTATGTTTTATTTTTATTATTTTATTACTTCCCTTCTACGTGACTTTACCGAAAGAACCAAGAAGATGAATCCCTGCAGTCACGAAAGCTTTAAATCGAAATTTGATCACGATAGTTTAAGGTGGATGGGAGATGGGGGGGGGGGGTTACTAACGCACCACGATGTTCCTCCACCCGTCTGTCTGACAACCGCGAGGAGGTTGGGGCTTTTGAATCTGCGAGAGACGCGGTGTGTCAGAATGCTCGCTGGGGAGGAGAGGCTGCCATTCCTCCGTCGGAAGCTGGACCAGTACCATCCTTCGCGTCTTATGGAATGGAGACGGGAAGTCGGGTGGACTGGTACTGGCCTCTGGTCACCATGAGAGGTGGGAACAGGCCTCTCTCCACTTGGGACAGGGTAAGGTAAAATAAAATCCCATGGAGTGGCTCTTCTGAAGAAAATATTGAGATCGTGGGAGCGTGGCAGTGAGGTGTGGCAGTGAGGTGCAGGAAAGCCGTGGTTCCCAGGTTATTCTGGGCTCACCTTCCCATCGGAGCGCCGCGGTATCGAGATGTTAACTCCCTCGCCTGGTATACAGGACGTCGTGGGTTTAATCCACGACTAGGGAGACCTCCTGTATACCTCGCCTGGTATACAGGACGTCGTGGGTTTGATCCACGACTAGGGAGACCTCCTGTATACCTCGCCTGGTATACAGGAGGTCGTGGGTTCGATCCTGACTCTGACACCTGTATATTTGGAGTATGCATGTTCTCCCCGTGGTCGCGTGAATTTTTCTCCGGGTCCTCTGGTTTTTCCCTCTCCGTTTAGAATCAACGTGCATTTATCGAGTCTTTAGCTGTTATAGATTTACCCACGATACGCCACTTTGTTGAGTGATCATTCGTGGCCAGGTCGCTTCTAAAAAAAGCTGTATAACTCAGTGGGCCTTACGTGGTAAAATACATTTTTAGAAATAGTTTAGTGTGCGCACAGACTAGCTGAGACGACTAGGGAGACCTCCTGTATACCGCGCCTGGTATACAGGAGGTCATGAGTTCGATCCCGACCCTAACGCCCACTGTATATTTGGAGTTTGCGTGTCTCTCTCGCCCCGCGGTCGCGTGGATTTTTCTCCAGGTCCTCCGGGTTTTCCCTACACATTTAGAAACATCATTTGTGGCCAGGAGGCTTGTGAAAAAAAAAAACTACAAAGTAGCTCAGAGGGCCTTACTTGGTAAGATAAAATATTAAAAAAATTGCAGGAGGTGAGGAATGATGGTGACCTATACCCCCACTGAATGTAGCCACCTGTGAGCTGCATTCTATGACCCTCTGTCCCTGGTGTTGACTTAAGATTGACCTTATTAAGTGACTTTAATGCGCGAGTGAATCCAGACGATAACACATGGGAAGGAGTTATTTGAAGGCATGCGCCAGGTGAGCTTTATGTGCGTGCCATGGGCTTGTATTCAACAACACGAGGCTTCATCATCGGCGCATACGGACAACATGCTGGACGCATGCTGAGTCCAATCAAGAACATCCAGAATCAGAATAAGTATTTATACTGGAGGAATCTGATGAGCTGTAAAGCTCTTTTTCACATATCCCCTGGACGAGTGACAGCACCAGCGAATGCGAGCCCTTGTCCTTGATACTGAGACCCACCGTGGAGCTGAGCTGATCTATCCATTGATCATCGAATTGTCATCTTCAATATGCGCCTGCCATTATTTCACTTTAAGCAGTGGGCATCCACTTAAGGATCCCATTCAATACAACAAAATATCCCGGTCTCAGTGATCTGTTGCAGCTGGGGTTGGCATCGTTCCAACCATCCTCTTCCTTTCTAATGCCGAGGTGGAAATGGGTGAGGTTTATGACTGTGACTCATGCAGCCGCTATGGCCGCATTGGTTACACAGTCCAGACCTTCTCAGAAACTCTAGGGTATTTGGAGAAAGTGTCCCAGCTCGCTGAAAGAAAGCATCCGCTCATTAGAGTCCACGAGGAGGATTACCGCTGCCTCCCGCTCGGAGGTTCGGAGAACCGTGCGGCATTGCAAGGATGAGTCGGTGCCTGCTGGATCACCGGGGAGATGGAAACTATCTCAGTAGAGCGCGATCACAAACCACTCTTCCAACAAAAAGTAACTTGTGGGGCGCCACAAGTTATTATCATCCTGAAGGGAGATAGTGATAACCCAATCTCTGACCCCTCCCCCGCCCACCAGGAACACATTTTCAGAAATGTTAAGCATTTCTGAGGTCCAGGGGGGCGGGGTGGGGACCCCCTCAGCTCAGATAACATCATGGGAAAACGTGGGGGGTGACCTTGCTAGTACTACTCAGATATTGGAGCAAGTAGCCAGCCCCTGTGAGTGGATGGCTGATATACCACCCACTGACGGGGTTACAGAAAGCGATTAGGAGAATCAGACGAGGTAAAGAGTCGGCCAGAGATGACCTCACAAGTAAACTTCTGACTGAGGGTTGTACGTTTGTTATGTATGTTGAACTTTTTTCTAACCGTAGATGCGAGTGGAAGGACAACGAACTGAACATGAAAAAAAAATCAGTTCGAAAGAAGTTGGTTATCAATCGAGATGATTTAAAGGTTTCTTAAAATCGGGAAGGAAAGAGCGTTCCAGACGGCCGCAGAAGCGCGTCTGGAAGCGCCGCTGACGCGGTGACCGCCGTCTGTGTTCGACGGCTTGCAGCCAAAAGCCGCTGGCTGCTGCTGCTGCTGCTGCGATGAGGACCGCAGTGAGTTCACGCGATGATCCCTCATAGCTCCTTGACGAGGCTTGTGTGCGGGCTGCCTGACATGACGATGACATCGCTACAATG